TCGGGCTACTCTCTGGGGTGCCGACTGCCTTGCACTCCTTTGAATTGATGGAGTCGTGGCTTGGGCTCCTATCTGGGGCGCCATTTGCGTCCTCTATCACCTCCCACTCCTCTGAAGTCGTGGATTCAGGCCTCGGGCTCCTTTCTGAGGCGCCATTTGCGTCCTCAATTGCCTCCCACTCCTCTAGATCGATAGATTCATGCCTCGACATAGTGTTTGAGCGTATAATATCTCGGTTCTATCGTGAACGTGCAGACGAAGATGAGAATCGTAGTGTAATGTGCAACAAGTTCAAAGCTCGGAGTTCCAAATCGTATGCTTTGGAAGTACTGCTGGAGATTGAAATATTCTGATGCTGAGATGGAGTTGAACTTTGTGGGAGAGAGCAAGCTGAGGATATGAATGACTTGTATGCAGCAAGTGTGCGATGTCCAATCCAAGAAAGAGCGAATTCCCATAGGCAGGTTCGTTCGTATGGACCGTCGTCGTGCTCAATGTGTAAAGGCGCGAAATTGGGCAGGAACATGTGAAAGTTGCTCGACTTCAGACAAAGAAATGTTCGACCTACTCTCATGTGCTGACTTGGTATATCCTCTGTTCACCAGTCTGTGGATATGTTTGTCCTAGGCCTTCCGCTCACATCTGATGTGCAACCACTTCGTCGATACGTTTATGTACGCATAGAGCAGTCAGAATAGTTGGAAAGATGATGTTGCCCGTAGCTTCCATACTAAGTAAGGTATAGCAGCAAAGCTTGCATGTGAACCGATCGACAGAGGGGCCAGAATTATTACATTGGTGCCTGGACCTCGGAAGGATTTACTGCAAGTGTGTAGATGCCTAGACTAGCCAAAGCACTACAATGATAACAACAACACCACCCCATCAAGCATCAAAACATTCCCACCTTCAAACAGCACGAACAAGACAAACCCAAAACTCAACCCCAAGCCCCAATTCCCTCCCCAAACATGTCCGGACAAGCAATCCTCTACGACCTCTCCCACAAAGGTCCAGAACCCAACACATGCTGGTCCCCCAACGTGTGGAAAACCCGCCTAATCCTCAACTACAAGAAAATCCCCTACACCTCCCAATTCATCGACCACCCAAACATAGCCTCAACCCTCTCCTCCTTGAACATAACCCCCAATCCCTCCCCACCACCCGGTAGCTCTCCAGCTCCAAAACCCTCCCCCTACACCCTCCCAGCCATAAAACTCCCCAATGGAACATCCCTCCAAGACTCCGCAGCCATCGCCCCCAAACTCGAAGAAACATGTCCCGAACCCTCCTTACATTTGGAAACTGGCCTGCACGAGCAAGTGGGGAAACTCATCGGTGGCATCGCCATGCCGATGCTCAAAGTCATCTACCCGGCCATCGCTCGCAATATCATCAAAGAGGAATATCTGGACTCGTGGTTGGCGGGTAAAGAACCTAAACTCGGAATGTCAATGCAGGAATTCGAGGCTTCGGGGGGAGAGAGTGCTTGGAAAGCTGCGGAGCCTGGGTTCGTTGCTCTCAAGGAGTTCTTGGCGAGTAATAAGAAAGATAAAGGGCCGTTTATTCTGGGAAGTCAGGTTTGCTATGGGGATTTCATCATTGCTGCATTGTTGGAGTCTGTGAGGATTATTGGGGATGGGTTGTTTGAGCGGTTTGTGGGGTATGATGAGCAGCTTAGAGAACTGCATGAGGCGTGCGGGGAATGGTTTGTTGACAATAAGTGAATGAGGGTGAGGTTGTTGAACTTCGGATGATGCAAACAGAGGTCGTTCATCTAACAATACGCAAAGGACGCCGTCATAAAAGCCATATACCGTCTACTTCTTCTCACAAGCCCAGTTGGCATGAACCCAATCGCTCAAAATATCGGWCAAAGTCTTCCCACCAAGTGCATCGGTGGCTTCTGACTTGTCCCGCTTCTCACCAAGATATCTCAAAGCCAGAACGATCCAGTCCTCTAGAAACGCATTGTAGATGACATCGACCTTTTCCGGAGTGCCAACCGTTGCAGTGGAGGCGATTTCAGCTCCAATACAGCTGGGAACATCGTAGAATCTGATCGGCTGGTGGATGGTGTCGTCGCCGTCGCTGCCTGCATCATCGTTGGTAGTGTATCCGGGCACTTGAGGAGATTTGCTTCCATCGCTGCTGCCAAGGACGGTCTGTTGGTTGCCATTGCTCAGGTCGTCGAAGGCGAATCTTTGTTGTTGCTCGGCGTGTAAACGACTTTGGACACCCATAGGAACGAATGGTGGTGAGAGATCCGCCAGTGACTTCTCATCGGCACCTGTGAGCGCTACCAAGTCGGAAAGAAGAATTGGTCCCTGGTTGTTCAAGATGTCCAAGATCTGAGTCGCAGCTTTGTACGGAACATCCTTGAAGCTTCGGAAACCGCTCGTGAAGGGCGAGATGAGGAACGTAGAGTCGATTGTGAAAGGTCCTTTGAAGACATCAAAGCGGAGAGCTCCCGTATTGGTGATGACAATGCCAGGGGTCTTGCTACCATTGAACGAGCTTGGGAGGACCTTCTCCTCGATCAAGCTGATCAGACTGTCATTTGAAGGATATGGCGCTCGATTGAGCCAATAGTCGTGAGGGGCACAACCAAATGCATGATCGAGCTTGAGCGCTTTCCTCGCACTGGAAATGGCCTCTGAGACGTTTCGTCCCAGTTCCGTGTCGAAAGTCGAGCCGTTGGTGCCCGAATGATGATGCAGCGAAAAGAGATTGTTGTCGATATATCTCCTCTCAAACTTTGGCGACGATTCCGGGATAACGGCATCCTTCTTACCAGCATTCAGTCCAGAGAGGGACATGAAGCCGAGCGTCTCCATATACCGTCCAGCCTCCACTCCGAATGCACTTTTGTCGAACTTTCTGTAGTCTCGAATATGTGTATGGCCTCCGAAGAAAGCAATAGGCGTATCCCAGTTTTCACCGCGAATGGCCTTGTATACCGCCTCAAACTCCGGACTATCTCTTACCGGAACATGTCCCGCTACTAGGAAGAGGTCCACCTTCTTATCCTGAATAGCGTCTTTAAACCACTGTTCCTTGACAGTCTCCTGCACCGGCTGTACGATTGTGTTGTTCGCATTGCCTCGAAAATTGAACAGAAACCCAAAAGCCACGATCCGAATGCCCTGATTCTTAGTCGTAAACTTGCGATATCTCGTCGCCAAAGGCACTCTCTCTCCGGTTTTGGGGTGCAATATATCCAAGTTGCTAGCAATGTACGAGTCCTTGAAATCCGGCACCACGGAATCAAACTCTCTCACGCTGGTGTTCCTCTTATACAGCTCATGGTTCCCAACAGTGATGACATCAATGGACTGTTTGTTCACGATATCCAGCGAGTATTTTCCCTTTGGATCGGAGGCATCATATAAGCCATTCCCTTCGACGCGATCTCCCGTGTCTATGAGGAGCAGATCGCTACCCTCGTCGTCGGCTCGCTTGTGGAGATGGTGGGCAAAAGAGATGTAATTGCCCCAATCAGCACTGTACTGTGCTTCTTGGAGGTGGCCGCCGTGCCAGCCGTGGGTGTCGGTTGTGTGGAGGAAGTTGAGCTGGCCCCAGGGAAGCTCCCGCAGAGGCGCCGCGATGGGAGATGGAGCTGAGGGTTGTGAGGCAAAGGCGGTGTGAAGGAGGGCCAGCAGGAGCGGGATCCGTAGAAACGACATGTCATGGAAGTATGAGGTGTGACTGCGTTGTAGATGACAGAATCGCTGTTACATCAATCGAGCCATCAAGGTAGGAGGCTGGTGCCTTATCTGCAGTCGAGAGAGCTTACGCCACAATCCCGTCATCCTTCAGCCCCGTCCAATCACTCCATGCACCTCCGACATCGACTTGATCAGTGTATACGCTTGAACCGATTGAGCAGGGCTCTTCTACTGCTATGAAAGAATGAAGTATTTTCCGTGGCCTAAGAGCATTAAGTGTTTGAACGATGGAGAGAAAGAGAGCCAATACCCAGTGGATGGAGCTCAGGCATCGGCTAAACGTTCAACCGCGCATGGCTCGAGGCGCCTCAAAATACCACAGCACAGATTGATGAGAAGGAGAACAGTATACAGTCAATAATACACTCCAACCATTGGATTCTTATATATATTTTACGTATCCAAGAGCACCAAATGTGTGATCCCAAATCTCAAAATCCCAAAAAGTCTTGCCGCAGAAGCATCTCGGGGGCCAGTAGCCTGTCTGTCTCCCGGTGGAAAAAATTAAACAACTCTCAAACCCTTGGGCTGAGTTTCAAACTCCATATCATACAAGTTCCATCGCAATGCTGCCGTGAGATAAATCGCTGATGCTGATGTGTTTTTTTGCACAGAGAGTCCCCCTGTTTAAAGCTGGACGGGAATGCAGGCAAGAGCGATGTTGAGGTTGCCCTGTTGAGGAGGTCAGATTCTTGTCATCACTCGGGTGTGAGACGGAGGTGGATGTGATTGATGACTTACCTCTTGGTTCACGGGGCAGCAGTATGTGTTGCCTTGGTTGCACTGGCTGCCAGAGACACCGCCGACGGCGGCGATGGGGATGTTGAGGTTGGACAGAGCGCAGCTGCCTCCGAGGACGTTGGAGAGAAGACCCTCGTTGGGACCCTTGGTGTCGCAGCAAGAGACCTTGGTTCCCTTGGCGCAAGACTTGACGACGCTGCTGTGGAGAGAGGCCTTTGTGATGATTAGCATGTGTCGAGAATAGAGATTGTTGTAGAGTGTGGCTTACATCCTGGGGAAAGGCCGAGACGGAGGCGACGAAAGCGGCAATGGCGACAATGGTGAACTGCATGTTTGCGTTTGGGTTGTTGTTTGGGTTGTTGTGTGGGTTGTTGTTTGGGATAATGAGCGGGTTAATGAGAGGGATAGTTGGATTGGTGAAAAGAGTGGACGGTTGAAGTGATTAAGTTTATGTGATTAGAATGTATGAGATGAATGTGCTGATGAAAAGATATGAGAGGAGGAGAGCAGCAGCTACTTATACCTGATGAGCCACTTGTTATCCTACAGCATTCGCCTCCTGTGTCGACCAGCAGGAGTGCAATGGGGCGGAGCGACCACAGATTCTGGTGATGTGCATCCAATCGCCCAGCTCTACCGTTAGGACTTCAAACCGTCCCAATCGTCTGTATAGCACAACCACGGATGCCAGCATTTCGAGCTGCGAAATCGGTGCTCAAAGAGGTTACGCACGCGGCACTGGCCTTGGAGCGGCATCCGAACAGTGCCAAGTCGACGCATCACGGTTCATCCCTCTCTTGGCAGTCTTCGCCGGAAGTGAAGGGAAGCTCTACCCACAAAATGATCTTCAGGTCCTGTGATACGGAAAGCTGGAGAGCTGGCCCGGAACGAACTACTATACAGTGACCATGTATCGCTCTGTGCCGAGTCGTCAGTTCTCATCTAACATGATGATCAGCCAAGCACATGTGTTTCGCAAGCGTATGGACTGTGAGCTTGACCCCTGACGGCAATGGCTCAAAGGCTCGATTGTTACAGCTGGATGTCGACAAGTGCATCTCGGCGACGGTTGAGGGGTACATCTCGGCGACGGTCGAGGGACTACGGCGATCGAGCGTGCAGTCAGCATTGATGGACAATGCACTCTTGCCAACGCAAAGGACGAAGATATGACCGTAGTGCGATGTCCTGGTGTCTCTGCTCGTGGCCGATGAGAGTCTGGTTGGCAGCCGCGCGACATGTGTTCATGTTGGACTACTCTCCCACGCAGCATGGAACCTGATTGAGCTTCCTCGCTCATCAACGTCCATCACACTACACCCTGACGACTCCGCGTGACGAGCGGGTGGAGGGACGGTTGGCCAAGCACGTTTTCGAGGCGTGGGCCATGAGACATCAGGGACAGCATAGGAGTTGATGGTCCCTGAGAGCGATCATAGACCTTTCTCTAGCAAGGGGGTGGTAATTCGGGGTCGCAGGCCACACATTCTGCATAACGGAGTGTGAGAGATGGAAGATTCGTACCTCAATGGATCCAGCGGGGAGCGGGCTGGAGATCGCGATACGGACATAGGTGTTCTCGGAGAGTGATGTCTTGTGCGCGAGACCATGGGATGACCAGGTACGAGAGGGAAGTTCGGGAAGAAGCCGGAGCGGGAAGCCGAGAAAAGAATCCTGGCTTTGCTGCTGCAAATCTTCTTCTTCACAACACCATTCTGAAGGTCGCACGCTGGAGTCTGTATAACCGTGCAAAAAAAGCGGCTCATTGCCAATCCCGTCTGGTGTCGAGAACCTAGTCGGGCTTCACAGCGCTCGAGAGGAGTCGGGAAAAGACAACCCTCACCAAGTCCAAAATTCAAGGGAAAGGCCGGGATCATCTTTTCGAAGCCGGAATCCTCCCCAGCACAGGCTCAATCTCCGTCTGACTCGCTCGAATAATGGAGGACCAAAAGATCTATGCCGTGATCGACTACGAGGATCTCTACGTACAACCTCTACTAATCGCGAAAATCTCCTCTCTGCTTCCTCCCAATCTCCTAGTCCTTGTCAAGAGCATCTCCGAGCTTCCATCTCCAACAAGCAAATTCTTACAATGGCGACAATACGAAAGCATAGACTTTGATCATCTCATGGGAAACTCCTCCACCAGTATAGCCAACAGCTATGTCATCCGCAAAGCTCTCATAAGAAAGCACTATCTCTCCACCACCGTCTCACATTGGCTTTCCAAACATCCCTCCAGCCTGCTCAAAGATCATGTCACTCCGTCTATAGAATTCGAGGTCGACTATGCGGAATTCCTGGATGATGCACTGGTAGAAGCGTGGGAGTTGAAAGAAAGCTGGGCAAGAAATGCTGCGCTGGATGAAGACGCTGTAGGTAAAGAATGGTGGATCCTAAAACCAGGCATGAGTGACCGCGGTCAAGGAATCCGCCTCTTCAGCTCCGAAGAAGAACTTCAAGCGATTTTCGAGGAATGGGATCCACTATCCGACGACGAAGACGAGCAAGACGACGGAGAGAAAGAAAGCGACGAAAACGACGGTGTAATGGCCTCCCAACTCCGACACTTCATCGCACAGCCATATGTCCACCCACCATTACTGATGCCAGCACCACACCCATCCGCGGACCGGAAATTCCACATTCGAACCTACGTGCTCGCCGTCGGGGCATTACAAGTATACGTCTACAAACCCATGCTTGCTCTCTTCGCCGGAAACTCCTACACACCCCCTTCATCATCCAGCGACCCAAACGCCAATCTCGCCAGTCACTTGACCAATACATGTCTTCAATCGGGTGAGAGAGAAGGTAGCGTTCATGCTTTCTGGTCTCTACCTTCTTCACTCCCAGGCATCTCAAGTCCCGATTGGAAAGAAGATGTCTATCAGCAAATATGCTCCATGACTGGCGAAGTCTTTGAAGCTGCAGCGAGGAGTATGAGTATCCATTTCCAACCTCTACCTAATGCTTTTGAGATTTTTGGGTTGGATTTCATGGTGGATATGAAAGGTAAAGCATGGCTGTTGGAAGTTAATGCTTTTCCTGACTTTGCGCAGACGGGAGGTGAGCTGCAAGACGTTGTATCTGGTTTGCTCGAGGATGTTGTCAAGGTGGCTGTCTTGCCGTTCTTCAATATCCCAGTCGCCTCCCCAGACGCTAACAACATGACGCAAGCGTTGAATATCGATCTTGGGCGTCGATGATCATCACATCTTCATACCAGCACGGTCAGTCATCACCAAAGCATGGACGCCTTCGCAAGCATCCGTACTGCATCAAATTTTAATGTGGCTACGAAATTRAGCATCAGCTCTGCTTGCCCATTTCTATACTGCCGTCATCATCCCAGTCATCATCGTTACCTCCCACTTTCCTTCCAACCAAAATTCCTGTCGCGGTAAGCCCGACGGCAACCAAGWAGACGCTTTCAAACCATGCCTCCACAAAGCGGCCCTCCAGGGGTGCACCCAACGCTTCGGTGATGACGCTGCTTACCTCTTCCGGGAGATTGCTTCGTAGGAGTAAGGCGGAACTTATGACATATGTTCCCGCGATCTGAGAGATGATCAGAGGCAAGCTCGTTTGAGCATGCTGCAACAGGCCCGGCGCAAACCTCGCAAACACGCGAAATGTTTGGAGCACTGCATTGAAGGATGCCAGCAGCATCACACCTGAAAGCAAGAAGCTGATCTGGCGTGACCAAGCATCGCGGTCGAGATTGCTGTCGTAATGGGTCGTCATGATTGCCAGGACATTGTTGATGGGGTCACTGGCCGCGAATGAGTGCGAAGGCTGCCACCACCTGCGTAGTGAAGACAGCGATGTCGCAAAGATTCGGTAAGCGCAGTAGATTGCGAAGCCCATGTTGGCGATGGTGAGGAGTCTGCCATGCTGAGTATGCGAACGCTGTTGGTCGGTGCGAAAGTTTTGCATATTTGACAATGAATTGGAGAGCGTGAATCGCATCGTCTCCAATCCGGAAATTTCCATGCGCAAGGCCTTGAGCTCTTGGGCTTCACTCGAGCCGCGGATTGACCCAATCATTCTTCCCATGAATCCAGGCTGTTCGGATGAAGATGCGGATTCCGACATCTTTCGTTCCAGAGCACGCGCTCTGCTCTGTTTCACAGAAAGCATGCCTTCCGTTGCCGAAAGACCGGCGGCCTTGCGCGAGATATCGGCTTCCTTTATCGTTCGGTGCCGCACACCAAATGTCTGCCACAGGGAGGAGACGGCGGCAAAGCCAGAAAGCGAGGCCATGAGCGTGATGCCAATGATGCCAATCCTCTCCAGACAAGCTTCCGTGAAGGCGTGTCCGCCTGCTGTATGAGCATCTTTGTGATCGTGTAGAGTTTTGCGCAAGATGGAGGCCTGCGGGATATACCAGAATAGAGCCAGCCACGATGCGAAGAGCACAACCTCTAGCACACGTCGAAGGGTTGGCCGACTTCTTCGAGTGGACACAGAGTCTGCCTTTGAGCCGAAAACATCTTTGATCATTCCATGTATCTCCAAGGCGGGTGTAATGGCAACGCTCAGCGTCAATAGCGAGCCCAATGTCACCTTCAGCAACAGTCCTCTTGCAGCCGGGTTCAAGGTGTTTGAGATCTCGCACAACAATAGTTCCACCAGGACAGCAGATAGCCCAATGCTGGTTGAAAAGACCGATGACGCGATCCTTTGTGCTGAAGGGTGTCTGACTGATTCCTTCCACGATTTGCTGCCATGCTTGAAGCTGTCCTTGCTCGTGGTGGGTAACCCACTCGAATCGCTCTCGTGTCCCACTTCTCCTGCGAGCACAGGGAACAGTTTCCGCTGTGCGAGTGTTGCGGCTATTATCCATGTGAGCACAAAGGGTATCGACGCGAGTGCTATTATCGACCAAGGCACCGAATCCAGGCGCCGAGCGAGATATGCTGGCGTGCATTCATCACAGTCGTCGAGGGTGGGAAGCATCGTTGTTATTGCTGTGGCCCCGTATGGCTACTGTCCGATTGTCGCGTGCATGCGGCTTTGGTTGGGAGGCACATCTGTGGGTTGACGACGTGGATGTTGAATGTTATAGATTACTACTCCTAGCGATCACAATCGAACGCGTTCGGAGCACCGAGGCGTACGTACCTGGCATGTATGACGTAACAAAGGCACGCTTCCTCCTTGGGAATGCTTGAACAAAATGCTTAATGCTTATTTGTGCTTTATACCCAAGCACACTTTCCTACGACTGCTCCTTCTCGTCGCTTTATTGAGGGATCTGTTGTTTTCATGGGTTGCAGCGTCTGCGTCCGTAAAATGGCCTGGGATAATTATCGAAGGAGGCGAGAAATCAAGGCGAAGGGAGAAGTTGTATGAAAGAATCCATTTTTCGACTCATTCTTTCATCACCAAACGGAAAGAGTAGTCCACGCTTMAATTAACATGATACTGGTCCTCAAGACACTCTATCTCGCACATTGAGTGGTATTGGCTTCAGATTCTCGATGGACCTGGAGCTTTGTGAACAGATTTCCAACATGGTCCACTACCCCAACCCTAACCCTTCAGCCTTGCGCTGGACTGAGGAGGAAGCTAGGTGGTACTTGGTGGCAGTCTGAAGCATGATTACGGGCTGGTATACCTCTCGTTCCACTCGGGGCTTGTTCATCGAGCTCAGTCAGCACCGTCGCCTTAGTTAAMCAAGTTTGGCTGATCTAGCTTCGAGTCGTCTCTCATGACTTGCGTCCTGAACTTAAGATAGCGGCCGAGATGGCGGTGGACCAAGCTCGGCTGTTCGAGGCTAGCAGACAAGATTGGGACAGTCGGCATGTGAATGCCAAGTACATACAGTCAGTATGGTATTTGGGCCGAACACTTTCAGGGTGCCTCACTATGTATTTAAGTCGTGTACATGAAACGAGGATTCTCATCACCCATGGCAAGAATCTCTTCCTCCGTCTTGCCTTCCACGTTGTAATCACGCCTTCCGAGCCGTCTCTGCTTATTCTCCCACCTAAAGTAGACCGAGAAGAAAGCAAAAATGCAAGCCCCAAGGGCAACAAGCGAGACATTGACGGCGTGACCCCGTACGAAATGAGGCCTATCATCTGTCGGGTAGAGCTGCGACAAGTCAGTCATTAGAACTTCTCAGCCCATTCATTCACCACTTACGAAAGGTGCCACAACACCAGCACAATTTCCAAACATAATCTGCATGCCAGATGCCGTGGTACGCTTGCCATATCTTGGATTGTTGAGGTTGAGCCAGGTCATATTCATACCGCCCACAATGTAGAGGCCGGCAGCAACGACAAAGCATCCAAAGTAAAGGACGCCAGGTGGACCGCGCGATAGCAAGATCGCGTATCCAGTAGCGCTGACACAGCCCATTGTCGCTGCGATCGGCCCACGAACCTGCTTCCAGTCGCTGACACGAGCAAGAATGAGGAAGACGATTGCACCAACAGCATAGCAAGGCATGGTCACTACCACGAGTCAGCCCACGTCTTGGTGATGGCGAGATGCTGGCACACTTACACAACTGAGTAGTGGCTCGACCGGCTTCCGGCATAATCTGAATGATGATGGTCGGCAAGAACGTACTGTAGGAGTACAGCATGCAGGCGTTGCAGAATTGAGAGGCCGAAAATAGGTATGTCTTCCAGTCAGTGAATGCTTTCTTTGCATCCGGCCATTGGAAAGTCTGGGTGACCCCCAGCTGCGCGGCGCGACGTTTAAGAACGAGGGCTCGCTCCTCTGCATTTAGATAGAATGCGGTGTCGGCCTCATCAGCCAGGAAAAACCAAGCGATGACGCCCAGGACAATGGTCGGAAACCCTTCTATGATAAAGATATAGCGCCAGCCGGAGTATCCCCCTAGGCCATCCATGAACCCTATGCCGTAGGCAAGCAAACCGCCGAGAGAACCCGCAATGGCAGCTGACACGAATAGATATGCAGTTCGAAGGGCAAGCTCTTGCTTGTTATAGAACAAGGTCAGGTAAGTTATCATGCCAGGAAAGAGACCTAGAGGAATCAATTGACGGTCGATCGGAGGGTCATACGATACTCTTCTTACCTGCTTCGGTAAGGCCTAGCAATAGTCTACACACAATCAAACCGGCGTAAGACTGCGTGAGACCTGATAAGGTGGCCACTAATCCCCAGGCAACTGTGATGCTCGCAATCCATCGAGAGGGCCGTACGTATTGTTTCAGAATCCAGTTCGAGGGAAGCTCTCCACAGACATAGGTGACAAACTGCATGCCTGCTTTAGCGTGCACACTCTTCAAACTTGCCTTACCTATCAGCATACCAAGATGGAGACAGCTATTTGGAACATGTTCCCCGTCATTCCCAAATCTTCCTCCAAGCCATACAATCTTGCGTTCCCGATGTTGACCCGATCAATGAACGACATTAGGTAGAGACTCTGTAAGCATGGTCAGAGCAGGCTACAACCGCATTGTTTTGGAGGTATGGACGTACCATGACCATAGGAATTACATGTTTGTCGATCTTGCGGACTAGTGCCTTCTCCCTCACAGGGTCAATGCCGAATGCAGACTCCTCGGACCCATTCTCCACCTTCGGGTTATCGATTGGTGATTCCGCATACTCGACGAGACCGACATCTGCCTTCTGACTGATGGATAGACACTGTCTGGGGCTATCGGGGGTGGCCATGCTGCTCGTACTGAGCAACTAGACTCTCTGGAATGTATAATAGCAGCGGAGGAGAGGAGAAGAGAGGAGAGAGAGGTACATGTGGTTTCATATACCCACAGTTCATGGCGTAGGACAGGCTTGAGTTTCTTCGGACACCTGGGTTCGTGAAGTCTGCATTAGGTGCGCTTGGTCAGTCCTTACCAAGGCGCTTCCCCTCCCCATGGACGTGCGGGGATGAGGCGCGCTCGAAGAATCATGACATGGGTTTGCACGTCCTCCTGTACAGACGTGTACTGTAGACAGAAGCTGTCGCTGGCGATTCCGGTTCTTGGCGAAGGTCCAAGTCGTGAAGCTATAGGACGAGCTCTTGGAATATTGACAACTGCATTTCCTGCAGTACCTTGTGTGCTATCACTTCTTCGCGGCCTTATAGGTGCATGATTATACATGGTCTGGAGCCCGGGCATGGACTACTGTATTCTTCAGGGTCTACGCATGGTAAGCCGATTGTGATAGCTGGGGCTGCTACCTTGTGGAACGACTTGAACACAGTCTTATTGGAAAGAACGGTGGATGTTTAGATTCGAGCCAAGAGCCAAGGCAAGCCTTGACTGGAGTAGCTCTAGGATATTCCATTCGCTGCCAGAACGCCGTATATAGTGCTGACATCGGTTGACAGAGTCGGCACTTGTCATCCTAGGATGTTTGAGAGAGGCTGCAGGAAGATTCCTCGCTTCAATCGAAGCCGCCTTGAAGGAAATCGATTAGACTCGCGATCTTTTTTGCGTCATATCAGCCGCCGCGATGAATGAATCAGATGGAAGTATACTTTCAACGCGAGACCAGGCTTACCGGAATCTTGAGCGGWCAAATGCTGCGGAATCATGCCCGTCATGTCTCACCTGAGGTAATGTCAAATCGAGTAGGTACGTTCCTGTCATCAGCCTCCAGAGCAGAGTAGTGTGGAAGTGTCTACTGCAGTATGTAGATGTTATGGAAGGAAGTGTCTCTCTGGGCTGGAGGATTGCCGCGTCCAAGCTCGCGGATCCTCCCGCTCTCATGGCTAGCCAAACTCTCTCGATCTCAGCACGATGATGAGAAGTCCACTTACTTACGTTCTCGTTTCGAGTATACAACATTTTTTTTATGAGCGCTTCAATGAATCCTCACTCTGCGTGTCGTACCCACACTCTTTTTGTTCACCCCAAATAGAACGCAGGGCTTCATCCCTGAAGGCCGTTCTGAACTATGTCTTCATCAAGGATTGTCCGCCAGCTCTGCCATCAGCGAGGTGGGGCGATCAGAATAACTCCCCGAACCAGCCTAAGAACCTTCACCAACAGTCCAGCAAAGATGATCAAATCAGAAGACATTACTACGTCAGCCGGAGAAGACGCAAAGGACTTGCTGCAGCAAGCCACAAAGCTTGTGGATGCTGGCAAATGGCAGCTGTGCAATGGCGGCAAAGGACTGGAGCGACCTTTTAAATTTAAGACGTTCAAGGCTACTTGGGTATGTCTGCATAGGTACGATTCCAATATGGAATCTCCGACGACTGACTGTCGTCATTAGGACTTCATGAACGCTGTTGCGGCCGAGTGTAAGAAGACGAAGCATCACCCGGAGTGGAGCAATGTGTATAACCAGACACAAATCCGGTGGACCACTCACAATCCGGAAGGACTGTCGAGTAAAGACACGCACATGGCAAAGTTTTGCGATGATGCCGCTTTGGAGTTCAAGGAGCTTGAGATTGAAGCATGCGATGTGAAGATTGGCCCCGATGGCAAAATTCAGGCTGCAGACTGCTGTACTGGAAAGTCGTCTTGAGAATATACTATTCATGAGGCAATCTTCAGCCTGTCTGTATACCGAAGCGCGGCCCAAGATACATATGAAACAGGTCCCGAGAACTAATGCCAAAGCATTTTCAAACTCATCTATTCCCACTCCAGTCTTGAAGAAACCGACCAGTATTATGGCTATGTCACAGTCTCGATAAAGTCAAACACATCTCATCAGTCGACCTCCATCTTGATGTACGCCTCCCGCTGCCTGGACTCGTGCTTGGCTGGAGGCACAATCCAACTGTGCAAGTCTTCCGGATCAAGAAAGACAACTTTGGGTACTCTTCTCAATTCAGGAACTTTCTGCAACAGTGTGTCCTGGTCGTAGATCGTCAGAAGCTTGAGCCTAGGACAACGCATTGGAATGCCCTCCAAGATAGAAAGGTACAGGCCTCGCAGCAAAGACGTGCTCCTCTCTAGAGGGACAATTGTGAGTTCTAGAAGTCCAGTCATAGCCCGGAGTGCCTGATCAAGTCTGATAAGCTCCGCGCTGTACAGATACCAGCAGGAATTTGATCTCCCATTCCTCTTGTCCGCCATTGGCCGTGGATCAAACAAACTCGAAAGGTCGATGTCTGTCAGACAAAGCTTGATGGCCTTTACGCGCTCGAGTTCTGCGCTTTGGGTCTCAGCGATCCAGGAGAAGAGTTTACTTTGCGAGGAGAAGGAGATTGGACGCTGGTGTAAGACTATTGCGGACTCCATGTGGATTTGACGGCAGGTCTGGAGGAGTGCTAGGCTGTTTCCTCCGCCAGAAAAGGCTGCAGAGTAAATCGAGATCCTAAGCTCCGCAGGTAGATCCAAGAACTGGCAGTCGGAGTGTCCCTCGGGGTACTTGATCGGATCACAGGTAATCACTRGAGGTTCGAGTGGGTGCGAGCTATCTTCAATGGGGCTCCAATCGCTAGTTGGTCCAGGAATTGGCTTCGAAGAGCGGCGGCTCTCAGTCATGATCCGACTGGCAGATGCAAGAGATGCAGAGGATTGTTCGAGCTAGGTCACGATGCGTGCGAAAGCTTACGAAACTTGGACCCGATGCTGTGGTTGAAACTCGCCAGGAATGGCAGGTTATATACCCGGGGTGATGAACACTTCTCCAGTGGAACTTGCCTGGTTCGGACCAGGTACCGCCATGACTAACAACGATGTCCACTTCGATTGACAGCCAAGTGGATCTATCCATGATCGTGTAGCGAACATGTCAGCGCCCGTGTGCGACTACACACTCGTCGACGCGAAGTAGTCATAAATGGAAATGCGATAGAAGCCGGGAATTGCTTGGAGGAAGAGGCATCGAACAACGTGGTATCTCGGCTGGCTTTCCACTGCCGTCATCGATTGCTGTATAGCACGACGCGTATCGACAGAATTGACAGCGGCAATCCAATTAAGCCGTCCCTAAGCCGTCCGAGTCTCTGCGACATGGTCTGATGTGCTTGGACCAGGCAAATCAAGTCATCAGCAGAGCCTCGTCGCTGTTTGCTCCCGCGATTAACKGGACTACCTCTTACAGCACTGGCACGCGCCAAGCCAAATCGTTAGACGAATGCAGCCAGCCAGACAAGCTCGGACGAACGCGGCCAGATTCTCCACGCGCTATCAGCCGATTGCTGCAGCATAGTGCAATTTTGGCAATAAGAAACAGATTATAAGACAGTATGTTCTCGTCTAGATGACCGCTGTTTGAATCTGTCTCATGCTTTCCTCGAAGTAGCCATGGTCTTTGACTTGTATCTGCCGAACATGTCCGCGATTTCGCCGTCGAGCTTCCAAATGGGGAGGTGGTGCGAGTTCCAGGTGTTTGGGGGTCGTGATGGCTTGACCAAGTCTTGTCTCACTTCCACGATTCTCGTAGCCTGGCGTTGTTCTCACTGAGATCGGATTGTTCTCGACAACTTCGAGAAATGTCACACGAGGCGTCCTGTCCAACGAGCGAAATTTGCCGATTCCAGTGAGGATGCGGCAATGACAAGCACTGGAAGAAAAGAAAGATCCGCCATGAWGCTGCCGTGCAACCTTCTTGTTCTGTTATGCAGAGTGACACACGGCATACACGTTACCTTAGGCAGTGAAAATCGCCAGACGAAATGCACCTAACACTTGGCTCTTGTTTCACCACAGGCCGGTGGCGCTGGAATTGGTCGGGTTCCTGCTTCTCGCGTGCGCGGTAGTACACACCGCGAATGGAGTGTCAGTCAAACACTAGGTAGATTAAATGAAAGATGAGGGAGGACTGCTGATTGGGAATAGTTCATAAGCATAAACAAACAAAGTCCCCGCTTCCCGCTCCGTCCATGATGCTATGTCTGGTCCGCTCCCAGGTGTACACAAGAAAGCACCTCAAGGGAAACAGATAACGCCACTGCTAAAAGTACAGTATCCCATGTGGCCGCCATAGCTGTCACCTACGTGATGGGCTTATGATCCAGCCACCACGTGGCCGCCCAAACTCGGACCAGGACGATGAGCCATGGCGGCCTCTATCAAAAAGCCGCTGCGACTGATCCTTACACGCGGAGTAGCTTCGCCGCGTAGTCGGCAATCAGTTGCTCGGTAGGGAAAGCCATCTCCTCAAGCTTCTGCGCGTAGGGGGTAGGAACCTCAGCACCAGTGACACGGACTGGAGGCGCCTCCAGGTAGTCGAAAGCGTATTCTRCGGTGAGYGCAATAATCTCAGCGCCAACGCCGAAGCTAGGGAATCCAGACTCCACAGCCATCATGTGGCCGGTCTTCTTGACAGACTTGACAATGGCCTCGACGTCCAGCGGCTTGATGCTGCGGAGGTTGATGACCTCAGCCTCAACGCCGTACTTGCTCTTCAAGATCTCGGCGGCCTGGAGAGACTGGCCGACACATCGCGAGAGGGTGACAATGGTGAGATCCTTTCCGGGGCGTTCGATCTTCGCCTTACCGAACTGTATCTCGTTAGCATGACTGCTCCATCGGAAAGGCGCAGTCAGTATCTTACAGGAATGACAAAGTCGTCGCTCTGCGCCTCCTCACTCATTGGGAACGAGAGACCGTACAAAAGCTCGTTCTCGAGCACACAGACCGGGTTGGGATCCCGAATGGCAGCCTTGAGCAGCCCCTTGGCATCCTCCGCAGAGTATGGTGCGACAACCTTCAAGCCAGGAATCGATCCGTACCATGCCGAGTAATCCTGTGAGTGCTGTGCTGCTACTCCCGAGGCGAAACCATTGGGTCCACGGAAAGTGATGTTACATGGCTGGATACCACCAGACATGTAGTGTGTCTTCGCAGCGGAGTTGATGATCTGGTCAATGGCTTGCATGGCGAAATTGAAGGTCATGAACTCGCAAACAGGGTGCAGGCCAGYCAGGGCCGCACCAACTGTAAGACCAGCGAATCCGGACTCTGTGATGGGACTGTCGATGACACGCTTCTCGCCGAAGCGGTCCAATAGGCCTTTGGTGACCTTGTATCTGCAGGAGAGATGTGTCAGCTATCTTGTTCCGCTCATTCCCCTATTGCTCCATCACGACTGCGCAGCTTGCCAGCTCCTCCTGCCAAAACCCCTCACATCCTGGCATTGATATCCCCATCTGCACTTGTTTCCATCAAATCCGCCTAGCGTCGGGGAAACTCACGCGCCGTTGTACTGAGCAACTTCCTCTCCCAGCACAAAAACCTTGGGGTTCTTCTCCATTTCCTCCACCATTGCCTCGTTGAGTGCCTCACGCACTGTCATCTCCTTGGTGCCCGTCGCGTACGTCCTCCATCGTGATGCAGCCGGCGCGGAAATTCGCTGAAAGCTAGATTTTGGGAAAGCTGTAGGCGTAGAGCGCAATGCCTGCGCCGCGGGACGGATGAAGCGAGCAGCAACCATGGTGGAGGCAAGGTGTCGATTGATGGCTGCCCGCGGATGGTTTGGGAATGGGGAGGTGGTGAAGGAGGATGGATTGACGATGAAACTGCTTGTGGTGAGATCTGAGCTTCAATCCTCAACATCTGTCCGGGTGCTTTTCTTCGGGCCGATCAGCAAGAAGCAGGGTCCAATATGTTTTAGCGCGACTCGTGGGCACGTGTTGAAACTTTGTTTGCGGCGGCAAGAAAGTCAAGTGAAGTAAAGTAAAGCTACACAGTTAGAACCCAAATGATGTTCATGTCATGATTCGTTTCATTTCTACCCTATAACCGCCGGGTTCCCACAAAGCATACATCCCAAGCCTCTCTGTGATGTGCCAACGCCATACGCCTCGCTTCCAAGTCAACGGTGTTATGTACTGCTGCTCCCACATGGTCATTCACTCCCCAGCCATGGCAGCGTATTCTACATCTCCTTGTCCGGGTGGTGGGGCAACAGCTGCGAGGGAGTCAAAGTCCTCCGCCGCGGGAGCACTTCCAGCGATGGCCTTCTGACCAGATGCTCCGACCTGTCTCTTCGCTGCCTGCTGGGTGCCTCGCCCAGCTTGCGCGTTGGCTCTCCGCGCTTCTGGATCCAGTGAGTCGAGCGTGCGCGGCTTGCCCCATTGCACGCGAAGCGGGACCCCTTTGACCACCGCTCGTCCTTGGCATGCCGCCGCCGCAGCTTCTGCACCAGCACGATCCATGTAGTTCATGAAAGCACAATGAGAGCGGTGGCTACAGACAACCGATCGTAATGCGCCGTACTGCGCGAAGTGCACTCGCAGCTCGTGTTCGGGAAGGTCGTCCTCGACGCCCGTTACGAAAAGTGATGTGATGTTTTGGTCGGCTGGCGGAAGAATGTCCTTGGGTTGGATAGGCACTGCTGCTGCTGATGGGAATCCTTTGCCACTTCTTCCTCCACCACGCCCACCTCTACTGCTGCTACCCGCGGCTGCGCCTCCCCTGGACGATGATGCACCGTACGCAGATCCGTATTGCGATTTCTGCTTCGAATCTGCCGTGCGGATTGGACCAGGCTTGTGCCCACCGTCCTCCCCACTAGCACCTTCCAAGAGCTTCTGGCCACCCTCTGCTGCATTTTCTGCTTCGAGCCGTCTCTGCTTCTTGTAGTACGGCTCGGAGCTTGCCAGTCGTCGTAGTAATTCCCGAGCCTTCTCGTCCGTCTGCTCGTATCCCTCTAGTCCTCTTCCCTCCTCAATCTCTCTCTCGTTGTTTTGTGCAAAGTACTCCCTGTTCACCTCGCTCTGCGGACCGGGCGCGACCATCTTCAGCGCGGCATCACGAATCGTGATGGGGAGACCGAAGCTCAAGTCCAGCATGCAGCACTGGCAGCAATTCTTCAGACGCGCACATGTCAGACATATTCCTGTGCGCTTCTGGCGGGCTGTGCGGTCTGCTTTCCAGCGAAAGACTGTGAAAGGCCGTGTGCATAATTTGCACTCTGCGCCATAGTCTTCCTTCAGCATCTGGACGTATGGATTATCCGACAGACACCGTTCACAAACGGAGGGCAGATCGGTGGTCTCCCATCCGGATCTGTTGAGATCTTGCTTGATCTGTGGCGGCATGTTCGTGGTTGGAGGGTGGATGCTGTAGATTCGCGCCAGACGATGCGCTGGAGGCGGACTGGGGATAAAATGCTTAGTCACATCGACTAGTCCGCGAGAAGAAGGTGGCAGATTTATGCAGGTACGATCCAGGGTCTCGCTTCACAAAAAAGTGAAAGTGGTCTCATTATTCCAGTCTGCATTTGGAGATTTGTTGAGGGTGGCTCGTACGATACCAATCGATACGATTTAATTACTTCCCCGTGCCCTCCCTTTCCTACACGCATCTACATACAACCTCCTTTTCTACCATTCTACATTGCAAAACACACCAACGAATCGCATCCCTTCCTCCACCTCCTTTCATAAAAAGTCTGCCCGCCATGGCCTCCAAAGCCCAGCTCGAACGCGAGGACAAGGAGCGCGATCTCGCGTTCAAGCAAGCTCTGCATGGCAAGACCGCTGCTGAGAAGAAGGGTCTCTTCGCTGCATTTGGCAAGGACCACGACGCGCAGAAGCTCGCCGTCGATTCCTATTTCAAGCATTGGGACAACAAGAACTCCGCGGAGGAGACTGAGGAGACAAGAAAAGAGCGTCGCGATGAGTACGCGMCCCTTACCCGCCACTACTACAACCTCGCCACCGATCTATACGAATATGGATGGGGACAGAGCTTTCACTTCTGCCGCTTCAGCAAGGGTGAGCCTTTCCGCCAGGCATTGGCTCGCCACGAGCACTACCTCGCGCTCAAGATGGGCCTGAAAGAGAACCAAAAAGTGCTTGATGTTGGTTGTGGTGTGGGAGGACCCGCACGAGAGATTGTCAAGTTCAGCGGAGTCAATGTCATTGGATTCAACAACAACGACTACCAGATCGAGCGTGCGACACGATACGGCGAGCAGGAGGGCCTCTCCCACAAGCTCAGCTATGTCAAGGGCGATTTCATGCAGATGCCTTTCGAGGACAACTCCTTCGACGCGGTGTACGCGATCGAAGCCACTGTTCACGCTCCTTCCCTTGAGGGAATTTACAGCGAGATCTTCCGTGTGCTGAAGCCGGGTGGTGTGTTTGGAGTGTACGAGTGGTTGATGACCGACGCATACGACAACGACAACCCCAGACATCGTGAGATCCGTCTGGGAATCGAGGAGGGTGATGGTATCTCCAACATGGAGAAGATCGATGTTGCGTTGGCAGCGATGAAGGCTGCCGGTTTCGAGCTGGAAGTGAACGAGGACTTGGCCGATCGTCCTGATGAGCTGCCTTGGTACTTCCCCATCTCAGGAGAACTCAAGTACATGCAGAGCATCTGGGATTTGCCCACACTGGCGAGAATGACCAAGATCGGGCGTGGTACCGTGCACAGGCTGGTAGGCGCTATGGAGACAATTGGCTTGGCACCAAAGGGAACTCAGAAGACGGCCGACTCTCTCGCATTGGCAGCAGACTGCTTAGTCGCTGGCGGAAGGGAGAAGCTCTTCACACCGATGTACCTGATGGTCGGCCGCAAGCCAGCAAAGGCGTAATGAAGCCGACAGGAAGGGCATGAAGTTGCGAACAGAGCGGTTGTTGGGATGACCCGGTTTCTGAACGGATGGTAGCATGGGCTGGCGTTTGTATTTGTAGAATTTCCTGTTGATACATATTGTACACTGGCGTCTCCTGCCAGATGTGATGCTGGTGGACATTGCCTCTCTCTCCCAACCCCAAGTTGTCTCTGGACTTTCGAATGGGCAATCCAGTGGCATTCTGTTCATTCTTCCACATGCATCGCTCCCAACAAGCCTCGTCCTCGCAAAGGCCCCCTACCGCCCCTTGTCTTCCCCGCCCACGTAGTATGTATTGTCAGGCCTCACGGCGCTGGCAGTGTGTCCATGCCTCAGAAAATTGAATCCTTAATCTCCTTGAAGCTCTTTCTCGTCCCTTTCAGATTCCCAGCWGTATCGTTGTCCAGTCTTTKCGTATGTTCATGAATATTCAGCTTCCACTTGTCTCCACCCACGTTCTTCCCCTGCACCAAGTTTTCCCTCAAGATTTGCGTGACGCCCTGGGCATGCTCGATACCTTGTGCTGCTTCGGTGGAGCCCGTAGCTAATGATTTCCCCTTGCGGAATTCAGTACGCGCATGGGCACGAGATGCTCGAAGAACGGGAACATCCTCTGAGAGCAAGTCAGACAGTCAATCCGTGATATCGCGRGGATGAGGCTCTTACCTGCGAATGCGATTTTTGTGGCGCGAAGGAGATGTCTGTAGGTGGCGAGAGCTGCGGCCCGGTTTGCAACCTTCTCTAGTTGACTCAATGTAGACATCGTTATTGATTGGACTCCGTATGTGCTATCGTGGGCGCATTATTGTTGTATCATTCGAGTCTTGAGTGGTATGGAAGTCGCATAGCGTAATCGTTTGCGATCGGTTAAAGTTCGGAAGTCTACGACGTTTCCCTCCGCGTTGTCGTCTTGACCAATACGGTACCAATACCAACATGTCGTTGCACGTCTTGACTGACATGCCATCCGTCCGAATCAGCAGCACCTACGCCCAGACTATGCTGACGTACAGCGATGTCAGCTCTCTAGGCCTTCCGCGCTCAGGGTCAGAGCAAAAGACATTTGCCACCATAAGCCATGATTCCGTCACATCCTGAACAGCAAGGGTGTTCCCAGCGAGCTGCGGAAACTCGACCAACAACAAAGCCTAGAAGCCTACAGCTCTCAGCCGTATCAGCAGCATGGACCACGTCGTGAAGGTACTAAAGCCTGGATCGAGGACGAAGCTGACTTGCTCCTCAATCAACAAGACCATTTCATCGGTTGACAATGTATGAAGACGGACGTGACGATGTCAGCTATCCCACAGATGCCATTGTCAGAGAATCCCACGCTACCGAGAGGAGCTTTGCCACATATCGTACAGATGACTCCGTTCGCTATCTGAGCCATGATACCACCATCGACCACACGCGACCTCGACGGCAGCAAGGAATGGCGAAACATCTACTGCAGAAGCTCAGTCAGGTAAGCCCGGCGATTGCATGGGCGTTTTGCACCTTCTGACACGCATTGTGTCTACAGAGCGGCAGAACTGTTCCCATCAAGAGCTGGTTGTCTCGAGTGTCTTGGCGAAAAGAGAAATACGGGTCTTTGTCCTGAGCCTGGACGAAGCGAAAGACATTTCAGCGCCGACGATCAAGTCATATCTTGACAATTCTCTCGATGACCGTACAAAATCTGTCAATTGCCTAGTGCCACGTACAGCGACCATCACGGTTCACTATCGGTTCACCGGGACGCACAGCATTCGCTTCGAGTCTAACACGCATGGATTGGGACGACGGTCAAGTGTACTTGTCGACAAGTGCATCGGCTCGTATCAACATATCAGCAGGCTCTTGAYGAGTCCCGATTATGAAACAACATGGACGTCAAAAATTCGTTCGAATCGGCACATCAAGTCCCCGCAACAATATCTTGAAGGGGCGAACTGTCTACACATTACCAAGTAGCGTCGAATTTCCTCGATGATCATACAAAAATGGCAATATCTCCTTCTCAGGCACTTCCCATTCCTAGTCGTGCCGCCTCATATTCATGTCGAGAATATTCGACAAGGGAGGTGGTCCCTTTTGCTCTCCATACTTGCTGCCGCCTCTTATGATGATGTCGCACTTCAACGCCGTTTTGGTCGAGAAGTTCGGCATACCATCGCTGGAAAKATGATTGGCGGGAACTCAATCTCTCTCAGAGCGCTGCAGGCGCTTCTGGTGCACATTGGGTGGTGTCAGTACACATCATGCTCGTCCCCGGAGCAATTTCATCCAGAGAGATATGAGTGACTTCGGCCAATATTTTCTTTGGACGCCGACACAATCGAGGAGTCAGCGCACATTGATTCGCTCAGTCGAAGTCAAAGACAACCAGATTTATTCACAACGATAGCGATCCTCCTCTGATTCAAGTGGAGGGATTCTTGGGAACACCCTTGCTGGGGTCAAGACGCAGCCTTCGCCACATAGAGAAGATTGGGTAAAGTGATACTATCAGGCCCAACAATGATCCTGAAGACGGCTTAGTGAGCTTCCCAACGCGGATTTCGATCCGATATTCCATCGCAGACTCTCGGCTAGTGTCTCAATCGTTTGGTGGTGTGTCGACTAGGCTGCGTTTCTTCAAGGCCGTGCAMGCAGTCCATCGATTCAGWTACTCTGCCCTACAGCATACATCAGAGCGAGAAGGCCGGCGCCCTGCACCACATCCTACATTGATTCGACTCGAGCTGTACTTTCCCATTCGAAAGCGGATCAAGGAATATCGTCGGCACAGGACACTTGAGGGTGAGGAGCACTAGCTCCTGACCATTATCTGATTCTTCAGGATTGTTGACCATGAAGTTACGACACACATTGGTCGAACTTGATTGGTGCACCAATTGCGAAGGCTACGATTTGGTCACGAAAGTCTGGGCTGGATCGCAACTACGCTCTATCTTGGCAAAGGACCATCGACACGGACGAAGCCCCCAAGCAGGTCAGAACAACGCGGAAATTGATAGAAAGAATCAAACCTACGTCTCGTTTGCTCACAGCAGTTCCCGTGGCCCCTAGCTCTCTCGGCTGTCCCTTTCCAACTCCCAAACACGTGCTAAAGGCGCTGCATCTCAATCACCCATCTCGGTAACATTCCTCAAGATGAACGCTTCTCAAATCACCGCACACCCGGGAGACTACTGTACTGTTGGCACTTGTTCTCTCCTATTGGCACACCTCACATACATTCCCTCGCTGCTGGGCAATCTAACCTATCTTACCATCTTTGCAATTATCCTCCTTGTACAACTCTATCTTGGTATCCGGCACAAAACATGGGTAAGAACAGAGAGAATCATATTTGGCGATCAAGTAACTGGCTGACAGGACAAGGGATATCTCGTCGGGATGGTCGGCGGTCTCGCGCTCGAAATCATAGGCTATGCAGGCAGGATCCAAATGCACTTCAACCCGTTTCCATTCGATCCATTCCTGGAGTGAGTATTTCCCAATTTAGCTAAAGACCTGGATTATYGGCTGATTGCAACAGATATCTGATCTGCCTGACCATCGGTCCGGCGTTCATAGCAGCGGCCATATACCTGTGTCTCGGCCATATCGTTGTCGTCTATGGCGAAGACGTATCATCTATAAAGCCACGTACTTACAGCCTCTTGTTCGTAACTTGTGACTTCCTGTCGTTGGTTCTTCAGGCAGTAGGTGGAGCATTAGCTGCTACAGCGGACACGAGGCCGGACAGAGCTATCGGTGTGAACGTCATGGTGAGTGTTCCGGGCATCGATCGCAGCGCATTGAGGATACTGATGGTGATCAGATTGCTGGGCTCTCCACACAGGTTGTATCATTGATCCTCTTCATGGGACTCTGTGCTGAGCTTGCCTGGCGTGTACGGAGAAGTCCACATCTCAACGAGCGGACTGCCGGCTTGCGATCCTCGAGGAGATGGAAGCTCTTTCTATTCGGTCTGTTTCCTCGAAATTGAGCAGTACGATGGATGGCTGACACATTTGTAGGCCTTGCTATAGCTACCATCACGATCTTCATCCGTTGTGTATTCCGAGTAGCCGAACTCCAGTCGGGGTTCAAAGGTGAACTTTTCAATCATGAAGTTACATTCATGTTTCTCGAGGGGTATACTTTGCTGATTCCATCTACTTCAGCTGGAAGCAAGCACGCTGACAACTCCAATACAGGCCGATGATTATTATTGCCTCTGTTTTTCTGACCATCTTCCATCCGGGCGTAGTGTGCTTCGGATATGAGGAAGAGATTCACTGGAGCCTGCGACGTCAAAAGCAGATGGAGTCAACTCATCATAAGCTTGGCTCATTGGAACATGCTGGCGGAGCTGATGGGAGACTGGGTCCTTAATGGTATGAAGCTATCGATGAACAGACTGCTCTTTGTCTTCGCCACTCTACCAAGGGATAGTGGGACAAGTGCTTAGCTCCAGAAGTGATACGATCTGAGGGCATATCAGGTTCTCCACGAGACTTGACAGTTTTTTGATGCAGCAGGCTATTTGCGAGCGTGGTAATAGATCTGTAACGAGGAGAATCGACATCTTCACAATTCCCATTCCCTCTGCGCTCTCCGACTGGCTCTCATGCTAATTCAAAATATAACGGATGTCCATCGATCCCTTACTCTCCTCTCTATCATCCTCTTTCCTGTCATCTTTCTTCACATCAATGCCCGGCTTCCCGTCCCAATTCTCAACCGCGTTAATAGCTTGAAATCCCGGAGTCTTAGACTTCCCGTTATTGATCTCTTCTCCGCGACTTGACCTAGGTCGACTCTCGAGTTTAGAGCGCTTCGAAGGTGAATCCGAGTCTTCCCTTTGATCTTTGGCCCCTTTAAGCCGCTTTGGGATGCGCTGTCCGCCGCTATGTGTTCTCTGCCACGAATAGCAAGGCATACAGAGGCCCCTTCGAAACGGAAATTTTTGATCACGGGCAGGAATACCGCAATTCTCGTTTCTGCAGAAGACTTCGCCTTTATCCCGTCGCGAATCCGAGCCTTCCCTTTGATCTTGGGCCTCGTAACGCCACTTTGGGATGCGCTGTCCGCCGCTATGTGYTCTCTGCCACGAATAGCAAGGCATACAGAGGCCCTTTCGAAACGGAAATTTTTGATTACGGGCAGAAACACCGCAATTCTCGTTTCTGCAGAAGACTTCGCCTTTATCCCGTCGCGAATCCGAGYCTTCCYTYWGATCKTAGGCCTCGTAACGCCGTTTTGGGATGCGCTGTTCGCCGTTATGTTTTCCCTCATACTTATAACAACTTTGACAGAGGCCCGTTCTGAAAAGCGATTTGTGATCATAGGCAGGAACACCGCAATTCTCATTTTTGCAGAAGAGTTTGCGATCTTTCTCCCATAGCTCCCTCGTGTCATCTCGATGCTGTTGTGCACGTGCCATCCTTTGACACTCCTGGTCGTAGCAATGGCAAGAGCAATATAGGTGACGAAAGCCAGGGGCGGTCCTAAGCACTCGAATCCCACATTCGCTGTTCAAGCAGAAATGTACCGCCGGCGCTCCGTTYGCAATATCAGCGGGGTTTCCGGCACGATTCATCGCGTGTGATGAGTCGAACGGCGCTATGAAGGCTGCTTGAGTGTATCGAGTTGTGATAGCGATATGAAAATATGCTGATCTCCGTTACGAACTTGTATGAGTAGCAGACGGAACTATTTTGACTGGCGGTGTTGTGTAATATCTTCCCCAAGTGAGGAATTAGACGTAGTTGGGGCTCTTTCTAGCGATGACAAAGGTGGACGCTCCTTCCCTTGAATGCAATCGAGGCAGGTGGAAGGCGCAGTTGGACCGCAGACAATAACCAGGTTCGCTCAAGACTACGCCACTTGACTCCATGGCGGATAGATGGCAGAGCATAGCTTCATGTTATTGCTAGAGAGTTTCTGTTGTCGTGACACCTTGAAGAGTCGTTCCATATCCAAGAGCTGAGAATATTGAAGCTTGTCGACTCGTTGTAATGAATCGACCACGACTCTGGCGAACAAGTACTCACAAAGCACAAGAAGAAACAGTTTTACATAGAACTGACAGTCTCGTCGAACGTCATCTCTTGGTTTTGTTTTCGTTGTTGCAGAAGGTGAACTATCTTTGACTGCTGCAGGCAAGGCGGCAATCTCCAATTTCACCGAGCCGTGGCATTTCGTCTCGCGGATCCTCGTTATCAATCATTGCGGTATCGGGATAGTTGAGCCCTGCACGAGTGAATGTGGAAAAGACAGCCATAACCCCTGGAACACGGGGAAGCGATGCCATTGCGATAACGATGTCCGTTTCGAAGCTTGAGAGCGAATGTCAACCTTGATTCACCACAAGTATTCAACGAACCTGTCGAGTGCAGAGGAAAGAAAGTAACGATATAGTTTAGCATTCACTTTCAGGTTTCGTGATGTTAAGTGTTCATCTTCATTTGCGACACGATCGACCTCGAGCGCAACGCTGAGGAAGCGATCGCTTTTGACTTTCTAGTTGTGCTCGTCAARCATCGCGCGAATCAATCTTACACGGGTTTCAATCAGTCTGCTTGTAGATACGGTGGCCATGTCCAAACAAGCGTTGTCTTTTTACCTCTACGTTTGCAACCAAACGAGGAATACTTTCTGGAGGACCAGTCGACTTAAAATCCTTGTATACCGCCTCGATGGCTCCATCTTGTAGCGATCCGTAGGCTGGGACAGCTCCGCTGATCCTACATCACATAGGATCACTAAGGGTGGAAGCAACATAGTCGTTGTTTCAGAGATTTGCTCGATGGAGTAATCACGGCACTCGATGTAGCCACGTTTACCATCTATCAGATTGCTGTTGGATTCCAAGCATGCCGTGGTCGTAAAGCCACCATCTATCATGTGTAGGCCAGACTCGACTGGAAACGTTAGTCAGCTTGAACCCCTGAGATCGTAAACTGAGTCCCTCCATCTGGCTGGATACAACCAAATCTGATCCACGGGGTCAGCACCTCGACTAGCAGCTTCAATCTGAGTCGGTCGTACGTCTGGAATTGTGCACGATGAGAATGGAATATGAGCGATTTTTGCGATTGTCAATCACTCAATGTGCCAGACGAGGGCCCAAGAGAAGAAGCGCCTATAGCTTTCGTCATTTCCTGTCGATGGTGCATTCCAGAGAGCGTGACGTCTCACAAGACTTCCAGAAACAGACTTAGTCCCTACAATGTTAGATAACCTTTATTCGATGAGGATGGGTTTTGCCTGATGGCCGTCGTCAACCGGCGGAGAACTGCCAATCAAGAACAGTAATCTGTATCACATAAAAGTACAATGGTCGTTTGCTTGAGTGATGGAGCAATGATCTGCTCAAGTCGGGCAGATGATAACCAGAGTTGGCGACTCTCGCCATTGGTTGTTCGCTCGTTGAATGCTGAGTATATCGAGGAGATTCCTATCTCATCGAACGAGCGTGCGGTTGGCGGTCCGGCGATACTATGCTTGAAGAAAGCTTCCGTATTGTGCAGCAGCGTGGCACGTGGATTCAGAGAACTGTGATTCGATGACAGACTTGGCGGCAAGATAGATGGAAGTCGGGTAGGAACGTAAGGTGGAGTTGGCAAAATCGGTCTCCCTCCTATAAGCAGTCGGCTAATTCATTAGAGCAGCCAATCGGATGATGCCGGAAACGGGACGACCCCTGGTTCCGACCACTCCCGCGTCTCCTCCTTCCCTTTCTGCTCGACTCACTTTCAATAGTTATATGTTTCGTTGTCCGGGTCCGCACTGTCAATTGATAAACTCTTTGCCCGTGTACCACCACGCTGAAGGTAGATTCGCCATGAACTCTTCCAATTCTGAACCGCTTCCACACGTGATGCCGCTCCTACAAAGTAGACTTTCCACCTGCACATGCAGAGGCCATTTGGTAGGCAAAGGTAGCGCTCTCTTCCTCTCAACACTTCCCTGCCACTTCCTGTACGCCATCTCCTCCCAGCGATCATCATGGAAAAAAAGGCGGACTTCGTGGTTACTGCCGAATCCACATTCTCATCGAGGCCAAGTACGCCGGGCCCGCAAACTCAACGATGGACTCCTCCAACATGGCTCTCCAGACTCAATCCACGCCGGCGGCAAATTCCTCCTATCCCAGAGATCAGATCCGCCTGCCCAGAGTCTAGCGCGGGCTTTTTCAGCAGGCTCACGTTTCAATGGATGACTCCGATTATGCGGCAAGTTGCCCATCTCTGCGCCGTCTCCACATGCAAAGCTAATACGCGTCTAGCACTGGTCATCGACGTCCGCTAGAGCTCAAAGACATCTGGCTGGTGAATCCGGATCGCGAAGTCGGTGTGATGGCGGAGAGGTTTCACGGTCACATGAGCCGCAATATTGACCAAGCTGTCAAGAACCCTTTGCTCCGGGCCATCCACGCAACTTTCATGAAGGAGTTCTGGATAGGAGGGATATGGCTCCTTGTTGCATCGGTCTGTCAGACCATGTCCCCTTTCACTCTGCGWTATCTCATAGAATTCGCGCAAGACGCATACGTCGCCAGTATCGTCCAAAAACAGACGTCCGTCTCACCGGATTCTCCTCACGGCCCAGCCATTGGACGTGGTCTTGGACTGGTATTCACCATCACGATTCTGCAGATCATATCAAGTGTGGGTGTCAACCAGTTCATGTACAATGGCTTCATCGTTGGCGGTCAGGCTCGCGGAGTGCTTGTCATGGCTATTTTTGAGAAGTCTTTGCGGATTTCGAGCAGGGCGAAAGCCGGTGGTCATGCAACGGCGACTGGATCTTCCGATCCTGAGAAGACTGGAGAGCCGGATGCGGCCGAAAGAAGGGAGCACGCAGAAAAACTCTTCCGCGAGAGCGACATCTCGACCACAGGAAAACTTCCTCCCCACAGCGAGCAGCAGTCGCGAGACGGGAAGAAGCGAGTTGACGCCAGCCCCGACGATGATCAGGCCTGGTCGAATGCACGGATCATGAACTTGATGGCGAACGACTCTTCTAGGATCGACCAAGCATGCGGCATGTGCCATCTGATCTGGACATCCCCAATTGCAATCTTGCTCTCACTCGCCATATTGCTTTCGAACCTGAAATCTTCAGCGTTGGCGGGTTTCGGCCTCATGGTAGTCTGTCTTCCACCTTTGGTGATGGTCATGAAAGCCGTCGAAACTCGCAGAAAAGCCATCAATCGCGTCACGGATAGTCGCATGTCACTGACGCAAGAAATACTGAACTCCATCCGTTTTGTCAAATTCTGTGCTTGGGAGCGGGCGTTTTTGCAGGACTTGATGAGCATTCGGCAACGCGAGACATCCCTGACGCAGGGCATGCTAACGATGCGGAACGGCCTCACTGCCTTCTCTTACTCGCTGCCTGTGTTCGCCGCAATGCTATCATTCATTACTTATTCCCTGTCAGGACATGAACTGACATCAGCGCGTGTATTCTCGTCGCTTGCATTGTTCAACGCTCTACGTTTACCATTCAACATCCTTCCCATGGTCATTGGCCAAGTGATTGGTGAGCGACAGCAGTAACGAAGCTTCAGTATGTTGTCCAGACGCGCTGATTCGGCTTTGCAGATGCCTGGGCTTCCATGACTCGGATACAGGACTTCCTGATGGCCGAGGAGCACCAGAGAATGATCGTTACCGAAAGCCAACTACCTCACGCCATCGATGTGCGCGCAGCTGGGTTTGTGTGGGAGCACAACGCGTCGGCCAGCGGACATGCGGAAGAATCTGTGGTGAGCTTTTTTCGACTTCGAGAGAAATGACCCGCTGACCACTGAGCTGCAGAATCTACCAGCAGCTGATGCCGCAGGAGGAGAACCATTCTCTATTCAGGACATGAACTTTACCATCAATCGTACGGAGCTGGTCGCTATCATAGGGCCAGTGGGATCCGGTAAGAGCTCTCTACTCTCTGGAATGACAGGCGATATGCGGATGATCAGCGGCGAGGTCCATCTTGGTGGCTCCCGCGCATTCTGTCCACAGCACGCTTGGATTCAAAACGCTACACTGCAGGAGAACATCTTGTTTGGAAAGACAATGGACGAAGCGTGGTACGGCCAAGTCGTACATGCATGTGCATTACAGCCAGACTTTGACATTCTACCTGCTGGCGACAAGACCGAGATTGGAGAGCGCGGCATCRATCTGAGTGGCGGCCAGAAACAGAGGGTCAATCTCGCAAGGGCGATATACTCCGACCGCGAGATCATCTTAATGGACGATCCTCTCTCAGCAGTCGATGCCCATGTTGGCCGCCACATCTTTGAGGAAGCAATCTGTGGCCTTTTGAAAGACCGCTGCAGGGTCCTGGCGACACATCAGCTTCACTACCTAGAGCGTTGTGATCGTGTCATTTGGATTGATCAGGGTCGCGTCAAAGCAACTGGAACCTTCAAGGATCTTTTCGATAATCACGACAGCTTTAGGGAGCTTCTAACCTACGTGACACAGAGTGGAAAGACCAACGACGAACACGTCAAACCGTCCTGCACGAAGCACGCTGCCGCAGAGGAATCCATCAGCGTCGTACAGTTGATGCAAGACGAAGAGCACGCCGCGAGTAGTGTCCCGTGGTCCCTATACGGGGACTACATGCGCGCTTCGGGGTCCGTGTGGAACTTTGGCATACCCATTGCAAATTTGTTGTTGTTACAAGGAGCAAACATTACGACGAGTCTTTGGTTGACCTACTGGYATGCTAAGCACTTCGAGTCGGCTTGTACATTACTGACTTTCGCCCCTCACAGGGTGTCTCATCGATTCGACATAACTCGTGGGGAGTATGTCGCCACCTACGTCGGTCTTGCCTTTCTTCAATTGCTGTTTACTTTCGCCTTCCCTTGGTCGCYCTCCATTCTAGGAACCCGGTCAAGCCGAACACTATTCGACAACGCAATGAAAAAGATCCTGGGAGCGCCCACCGTGTTCTTCGACACGACGCCGCTGGGCCGCATCACGAACCGCTTTTCCAACGACGTTGAGGTATTGGACAACAACATTTCCGWCGCCCTGAGGCAGTACATGTTCAACCTGTCCATGATAGTCAGTGTTTGTACACTTTTTATCGTCTTCTTCCACTGGGCTGGCATAGCTCTTCTTCCTGGGCTGCTGATGTTCCTCTACGTCACCGCCTATTACAGATCGTCCGCGAGGGAGATCAAACGCTATGAAGCAAATCTCAGATCGACAATGTTTGCTCGCTTTAGTGAGGCTATCACTGGCATCCCTAGCATTCGTGCCTACGAACTTCAAGGACATTTCACTAGTGCCCTTCGAGGTACCATCAACGACTTCAACTCTGCATACTATCTAACATTTGCCGATGAGRGATGGCTCAACATGAGACTGGATATTGTTTCAAATTTACTGGTGATGGTAGCTGGCATCTCAATGGTCGCGCTGCGAACCACCATCAACCCTAGCGTCTCTGGACTGGTGTTTTCATACATGCTCGCCATTGTGCAAATGGTCCAGTTCCTGGTCAGACAAATGGTAGAAGTCGAGAATTCGATGAACTCCACGGAACGCCTCCACTACTATGGCACGAACCTCGCACAGGAGCCATTAAACGACGACGAGACATCTTTGGAGTCTTCGTGGCCCGTACATGGTCAAATCACCTTCGCCAATGTGCAAATGAGATACCGCGACAATCTACCCCTCGTGTTAAAAGACCTCGACATGTCAATAGCCGGAGGGGAGCGCGTAGCCATTATTGGCCGCACAGGCGCAGGCAAGTCCTCGATCGCCAATGTCCTCTTCCGCCTAACAGAGCTCTCAAGCGGAAGCATCACCATTGACGGCATCGATATTTCCACTCTAGCCCTCCACGACCTCCGCTCTCGGTTCTCCATCGTCCCGCAAGACCCAGCACTATTCCAGGGAACAGTACGAAGTAACCTAGATCCTTTCAATGAGTATTCCGACCTCAAGCTATGGTCTGCTTTAAGACAGGTCCATCTCCTTGCAGACACAGAGGATGCCAATGGTATTTCCCGCACTTTCGGCGTACATCTCGATTCGAGTGTAGAGGAAGACGGTCTCAATTTCTCTCTCGGTCAGAGACAATTGCTGGCTTTGGCACGTGTACTCGTCCGCGACAGCAGGATTGTTATTTGCGACGAGGCGACTTCTTCTATTGATTTGGAAATGGATGAACGCATCCAGGAGACTATTCGATCGAGTCTGCAAGGTCGGACGCTGTTGTGTATTGCGCATCGATTGAAGACCGTGGTTAATTATGATAGAGTGTGTGCTATGGATGCTGGGCAAGTTGCGGAAATGGGTACGCCGGTGGAGTTGTGGAGGAGAGGCGGCATGTTCAGAGAGATGTGCGAGCAAAGTGGTATTGTCTATGGAGATCTGTGAGGTTGGTTACTGACGCGTATAAGGAGAATGTGAAAGCTAAGGTATCATGTTGCTTTTATGAAGAATGCTACAGATAGATAGAAAAGACACTATGAGATATACAGCCTTTCGACTCATGGACAGACCCCATATCAAGCCGGTCAAATGGTCATCAAAGCAGCTACTCCAGCTACTATGAGAAACACCACATCAAGGGAGTTGGTAACCGCAGCACCCATGTATTGTTCAGGCTGTTGGGGTTTAGCCATTCCCGTCGATGAGGAGTTCTGTATTCTACTCCAAGATGGCTGTGCTACAGGGATCGGAGTAACGTATCTTGTAGGCTTCGTTACCACCAGCATGAGGTCTTCGGCTGAGTGGGTCGCGGCTGTGTTGGAAGGCGCGTTGTAGGACCCAGATTTGTATTGGCTGGAGATGTGAGAGCTTGGAGGCAGCTCAGCGGGCTTCTGAAGAGGTGTGTAAGATGCTACTGTTGAGAATGACGTGGAAGTTGGACCCGGTAGCAAAGTCTCGACGGTCAAAATCATACTGACGACTGCCGGAGTCTGTGTATGAGATGCTGACGGCTTCGGTAATAGAACTGCTTCTGTCTTGGTTTGAGGGCCTGAAGGCTTCGGCAGCAGGACTTGGTGGGTCTCCTTGTGCGCCGAAGTATACTTCAGCGCGTTGGATGTACTGGTCGGAGTGACAGTGATCCACTCCGTGAGGGTCGTCGTGCAGTCCACTTCCTTGGCCGTGGCGGAAGTGACGGAGCTCCCCGCGGTATGCAACGAGAACACCACAGTGAAGGCTTTCGTAGTGAGGTTGAATATAGGAGCCTCGATGGCCGAACCTGGTACTTGTAGGACTGCTGGGCCTAGCGGAAATCTCGGAAACTCGACGTTAAGACTGGGAATAGGCAACGCGTGGGTCTTGTGAGGCAGGGGCTGAGTGGAATTTTCGGAGTTATGAGATGCATGCGATGCTTGATCCTTTCTTTGAGAATCGGCATCAGCCGATTCAGTGACACATGAACCTGAATAACATCCAGCGGCTCCGTAAATCTTTTCGTCGCCACGTGGAATGAGATTCCGAATGGAGTCGGGCACAATCGACGATGGAGAAGCGAAAGGAATGGGCCCCATTGCTGCTGGTGCCGATGCCGGGAGTGCTGCGACCATAGGAGCTGGGGCTGCCTGAACTGCCGGTACTATTGGTGACGGGTTCGCTGGAATCAATGGTGCTGGCGGGATTATTGGTGCTATTAGGCCTGGTAGTGCAGGTACAGGCAAGGATGCACGTGCTGCTTCCGGAGTGGGAATCGGGTCTCGTGATTGTACTGATTTCGAGGTTGGTTGTGGGGGTGACTCAGGCAACCCAAGCGCCGCCAGCGGTGCAGAGGGTGTTGCAAGTACTCCCGGAGTCGGAATTGATAGAAGTGTATTGTATCTCGTCGTTGTCGCACGTGATGCTAGCTGAGGAGATCTCGTTTCGACCACATGTACTGGATTTGTCTCATTCAGCATCACAGTAGGTGATGCACTCGAAGCTCCCGTCTTGGCAAGTTCGACTGTTTGTGTAACGCTGACGCCTAACAGTGAGGGTAGCTGATCGTAGTCGAGACTGAGCTCCACACCCGGAAGACACTTCTTTCTGAAAGCGAAGGATGGAGATCAGCATATGTCTTGGAGGTAGAAGGTCAATAGAGGAGCCTCGGTACACGCCCTATGCCTTCCACACTTCGTTATACTTACTGTCTAACAAAACAGAAGATGGCAGTGGATCTTGTTGCCAGCGCGAAAAGCGCGAAAACTGCAGCCGCGCGCATGATAAATTAGTGAGAAGAGAGCGCGTATATAACCAGAAAGCCAAAGAAAACGAAAGTCAGGGACCCGAAGGCCAAAAAAGAGCAATAGACAGAAAGAGTAAGTGGGTGGATGCAGAAGAGGAACGGGCTGGATGGAATAGGAAATGGTTGGGGGGTAAAGATCGATATCGTTGAACGAACCAGCTCCTCCCTGGTCGACGGCACACCTTTGTGATGGCTCGTCGCGAGGACGTAAAGACGTTGGAATGTCGTACCCTGAACTTCCACTGCAATGTCCTAACGCATGGACGCGTGGAAGCGGGGTGGTTTGAAGAATACGTAGACACGCTGTGTCGTCGCAGATCCCAATGGAGCGGCAGCGTACTCGGGGTTCCGCTGCTACGAGATACTCATTCGTATGAATATTGACGGTCTCATACCACGCTGTGCAATGGTAGGGTGCCTGGATGGGCTCTGTGGGATGCCTAGCCACTGTCTGAATCTCTGCTCTTCTGTGCTGGATTCAAGCCGCCGGGGCAGACAATCGAGACCAGAACGCGGAGTGTTTTCTGCAGACGCAACGGCCAGTTTCTGCACATAACGGGCGGTTTCTGCATACACAACGGACGTACCAAGTCGTGGCAGAATGTGAAGGTAGAAGTGTGGTTGTGTTGGAAATCGCGCAGGGCAGCACGGATGTTGCAACGGCTTCGGATCCGGATCCTAAATTAATTGACGACGACCCTTGAGGGTGTAAACGTGTTGAATTCATAGACGGCACATGTGCCAGAAAGCGTGGGATGTGAACAGGAGGTGCTGGGAGACTGGGTGAGATCTAGATGGTCAGTCGGGGTCTAGGAATCTCTCCTTTGCCTCCACGAAAGGGTATGACCAAGTGGAGTCGCGTGTTCTAATTGATGCCCGGGGCAAGCGGAATCCCAGGCCGAATGGCTTCTGTAATATCAGGTCAGACGTGGTGTCCTACTTCACCTCCTTTCCGCCAGACAAGCTGCGTAGTGAAGTGCCATGTTTTGCACTGCGCTTCAACAATCGATCCACGAGGTGGAAGGAAGGTGGAAAGCGGGCAGTTGGGGTGTACCTAACCCTTTGGAAACGAGCGGTACATGAAGTGATGGTGCATGCCACACCTTCGTGACGGACGTGCATGTGATTGTCAAAGGCATAGAAAGCTCTCCAAAGGTGTTTTCATGCGATGTTGTTGGCACTTTGCAAAGCACAATTCGATCACCACCGTACTGGCGTCATGGCCTACCCCGGACGAGACTCGAAGCTCTAAGGACCCCGATGTGTGGCTGGTTCCAACTACCCAATGCCCTCTCTCTTCTCTTCCTCTCTCTTTCCATCAACACACACTCCACTACACCTGCACCACATCACCTTCTATTCCACCACGCGACGGCATAATTAGCACTCAACCCTTTGCGCCGCGCCAAATCAGCTCACCATCCGCCTTGCGCCAAGAGCAGCAGCTTCAACCGCCGAATCCAACTCGCAATGGCCGACAAGGAAATCAAAGAAGGCGACCAAGGTACGCTCTCCCCATGATCGCGGTCGCATGGCCCTTCCTGAGCTCCCGCGACCGCTTGCGCCGCGTCTCCGCCTTCTCGCTGCCAAAGCTGGGCCAGGCGCGTCTTACCAAGGCCCTGCGCGAAGCGGAGCTCAGGAACATGCGGCTTAGTCATCGCGTGCATGCATCCGCTCTCGCGGGCGGATGGGTTGGGACGTGCTCCGTTCCATCGCCTGTCCCTTACCTTTCTGGAACAATGGCTAACACGGAATCTTGCGCGTAGTCTCCTACCAATGGGGAGGTGGACGCCCCGGCGGTGAAGTCACCGAGGTCAAGGAATCGGGTACAGTTGACATGGAGACCAAGAATGGCAACACCGTCTCCAAGAAAGGCGAGGAGGGCAACCCGGCCGTCTACATCCAGCGCGATGAGGGACACGACGTCGTGAAGAAGGCTTCCGAGGTCACCGTCGACAAGTCAAGTGACAAGAAGGAGGGCGACGAGGACGAGAAGAAGGAGAATGGCGATGCCGAGAAGAAGGAGAACGGCGAGTCCGAGAAGAAGGAGAATGGCGATGCTTCAACTGGCGACAAGCGCAAGGCTGAGGAGACCGCCGAAGAGAAGAAGGACGAGGAGGAGGAAGGTGACGCCAAGAAGCAAAAGACTGATGAAGCTCCTAAGAAGAAGGGTCGGCCTGCAAAGAAGGCCCACGACGAGAGTGCTCCCAAGAAGGACGCGAAGAAAAAGGCCCCAAAGAAGGCTGCCACCGAATCAGGCGAGCCACGCCGGTCTGGAAGAAATGCATCCAAGTAGTGCCACTCCATGCGACGCTTCAACATGCAGCAGCGGAACGCACGCTGATACTTTGATCTGGGATGACGACCACGAATGGGATATGGCAACAAGGACGGCGCAGGACACGGGCTGGGACGGCGATGGACTGGTATCTCCAAAAAGCCTCATTGTTGGATGGTTGTCCTCAAGTGTATAGTAGCTTGTTTGTTGCTATTATACGCGAAATGAATTGAAAAGTGATCAAAACGCGGTATCAAATTCCCTATTGTGTGAGCTTCGTTCAGCATCGCCTTTGAATCAGCACGAACGTCCATAAAGTTGAGGAGCGTCTTTGCAGGTCAGTCTCGATGCTCATGCCCATGGAATGTCATGACGCGTAGAGACCGATACTCAAGACTCTGGACGGGTGCTTCATGTATTTCTGAATGTACCTTAAGGTTACAAATGATTACTGGTACAATCGCAGGGTTTCTGTCATTACTGCTTGCTTGCTTGCTTGCTGGCCATCCATCCTTTCCGTTCATGTTTTCAAGTTGACGGTCAAGGCGATTTCAGGAAAACATCGCTCCTGCTCCATCTGCCGTCTCCATCCTTGTCCTGTTGATCCTTCCTTCCTTGCTTCCTTCGCCACTTATCATACAGTTCATCTTCTCTTATACACGGGGCCCGCGAGAGAGCCTTGTGAGACGACCCTCCTTTCACTTGCCATCACAACTTCTTGAAGACGGTATTAGCTTGTGACCAATACCCACCCCAAAACATGCCCTACGCACCATTCCAGCAAGCTTGCTAAAACCTCACACTCCCCAACATCTCAACAACCCTAATTCTTCTGTCCCTCAACAGGCCGCTCAGCCCTCTGCGCCATCTCCTCATTATGCTTCTTAACATCCTCAGGCTCTTCACCAGATTTCGGGGGACTGGCATTCAAGATCTTCGGCTTTGGTTTCTCCCCACCATCACCACTCTCCGACTTCTGACTAGTTGAATTCTCCTGCGAAGAAGAAGAAGGAGCTCCTCCTTTGTTGTTTGTGTTGGGAGGTGGAGGGCCGGGATGTTCATGGTCTGCTTTTGGGTTCTTCAAATTGTTGTGTTCGCCGGAACCATAGTCGCTGCTATTGAATCGTTTACTGATGAATCCAAGGCCTGGAGCTGGAGCACGTGTTGCTGCAACCAGGAATCTGGGTTGTTGACGGGCGGTCGTTCGTAGGAGGAACATGTTGATGACTTTGACAATGCTGATGATCTGTGGGAATGAATGTCCTTGATGAATAGAACGAATTGCTTGTCGAAGACGATTAATGGGAAATGATGACAACAAGCAAATAATTGGGGGGAAGAAAACTTGATGACGGGCTGGCTGTCTTTGATAAACTAGGTTGACAAAGACCAGTTCGCTGCTCTCCTTGCTTGCTTTACTGTACGTGGTGGTGACGTAAAGACATTCGATGTCGTAACTACAAAGATCGACCGCTGGCGTTTTTGCTGGTTCGACCGCCGACGATAACGCGCGGCGATCTTGTTTGCCAAAAGTCTTATCTCTCTCTTGCCTTGCAGCCTCTCAGACAAGAGCAATATGAAATCTTGGATGTATTCCTCGGCGAGCCTGTCGAAGCATAAGTTAATCGAGATGCCAACATGCACAGATCGAAGCTTGCTCCCCGTCGTCTTCTTGGTAATTGTGGGGATGGATCGGACCGTGCTCCGCTGCCTGTATGCAGTTTTAATATCGGGGTTAGGGTTGGGGTAGTGCATCGTTTCTCGAACGTCTTTTGTTTGTTGTTGTCATGCAGCATACGGTGCAGCGAAGTCGTTGGAGACTAATCATGGATAATATGTGCATATCAATGGATCTTTTTGGCTCTCATGCAAGTCCTTTGTTTGGTTTGTGAAGCAGAAGGGTGGACCTTATATCGTTGCTTTCTTATAATAGGAATGTTTGTGTATACTGTGAAAGTCATCAAAATCTTCCTAGCATCTGCCAGAGAATACATCACAAATGATCCGACGCTGCTGTTAAACAGTTCGACAGCAGTAGGGAAGCAACGCTAAACGACCACAAAAGATCTCCAACGCTATATTATATCGACGCTGGCCATGCCTTCATACAGTAGCTCAATAGTGATACATCATAATTCGTACTCGGGTCATGTCTGCTCCCCTGTGCCCAAAATGTTTCACACAACACTTCCAGCACCACTGGCATCCGCCCTAGCATGGCCAGTCGCAGTCGCAGCATCGATGGTCGGATCAGGCTGATAGAGATGAGTGAACGCACCGAACTTATCGTCCTCCACAAGCCAYTGCAGATCATCCTTGTCGGGAGGTAAGGTAGACATGAGACCTTGACCAGGTCGAGGGTATTTTGTTGGATGCACATCGGGACCATAGTACTCCTCAGGCGCCTCGACGGGAGCTCTTGATGGACCCGCTATTGATGAAGATGTATGAGATTGGCCGAAGCTGGGCTGCGGAGGCGGTGGAGGCATCGCCGAAGCATATGGATCTTTGACCACCCCATTGATAGGCGCCGGAGGCATGTAAGAAGACGCCTGTGCGGTGGATGCATTTACTGAAGCACCCTCTGTTGCTACACCATCTAGACTGGCCTTGAAGCTCGGTGCAAATACAGGTAAGTCGGGATGCAAGGTCGTGATTCTTGTTAGTAATGTGATCATGACGCCGGGAGCCAGCTTCGAAAAGTATTGTTGCCGCTGAGAAGGGGGTCAATATAACAACAATCTGCATACGAAACAATGGCCTCACCTGCTCAGCCGTTGCTCCCTCGACACTAACAAAGCTCGCAACTTCAGCCTCAGGAACGGGCAATACCCTCTCGCTCTCGCAATGTCTGCAAAACCACTCCTTATCCACCTCATCAATCACAGCTTGATCGATTGGTGGTTGATGACAGTACCGATGGTATGCCATGTTGCATCCGTCGCAGAAGACAATCATGTTGGTGGTAGGACTAGTACCACGCAAGCACACCTTGCAGACTGCCGCTTCCGGATTGCGTCGAGCGTACGGTCGTTTTCTCTTGTTGGTATTTACAGGTGATGGCGGCGGCGGTACAAAGCTGGTGGGCTTCTGCACCGACCGGCCTGACTTCGTCATCGTCGCGATGGGAGTAACTTCGCTGGAGTCCGAATCATCATCGTMGTCTTCGTCGTCTTCCCCATCCTCTCGTTTCCTCTTGCCGCCGCGTCCACCACCGCGTGCTCTGCTTCCCCTCGGTCGACCACCACCCCTGCCTCTGCCTCGAGGTTTGACCAGCACCGGGGTTTGCACACCACTTCCAAGTGGTGTTGCCATTGCATCGCCGTTGCCGTTAAGAGCGGGTCCTGGTCCTGCAGACCCGACACCTCGACCACGAGCTCTACTGCCTCGAGGACGACCACCGCCTCTGCCACGGCCCACGCCCCGTGCTCGCACTCGCACTCCTCCTCGCGTTGGTGTGTCTGAAGTGGCAGGAAATTGTGCAGGTGTCGCCATCATGGTCGAGCTCTGGTCATCGGCGACAGTCCACTCCGGCGTACCTGCATTAGCCGCAGTTCCCACATTGGCCTCGACATTGCTAGTAGATGACTGAGCAGTTTGCTCTGGTGGGTTTGTTGTCGCAAGTTCTGCTGAGTCCGGGCTCAAATCCATTGCAGCTCCTGCTTCTGTCGCTCCAGCGGTGGCGGGCATATTAGGCGCGTCAGAAAGTCCGGAAGAGCTCGAAGCTGGAGCTCCAACGCTGAGTCTCCGTTCATGGTCGGAGACGGGTCCCGATACCAGCGTCGGCGCGCTGCCGGGTGGTGAAGCATCGTCCATTGGATGTCATGAGTCCATTGTGTCCTCTGATGTTTCGATTGGAAACTTTGCGGGAAAGGTGGGTGAATGATACAGTAGGTATCTACGGAGATAGTCCGTGCAGACGGAGTTCGGGCCGGCGGCGTAGGATAGAGGTATCGATCTTCCTAGACTTCTTCCATTGGCTTCAAGCTTTCTTTTGCATCAAAATCAAAATCATGCATGAATAGTTTCGCACGAGGAACATTCAGCTCAAGACTGTTTTCAGCGGGAAATCAACAGACGTGTTTGATGGGCGACAATTAGACAGGTGAAGGTCTTCCGCATCTCTTCCCATCGGAATTTATTCCTAATGGCCTAAGATTCCGATTCCACGGTGATTATGCCGAGAATCGATTCGCTCACCAGAGCTGAAATACTCGAGAGAACTCTGTGGATTTAAGTAACGTCTGACGCGTATAGGTGCTGTATTATTTTGCACACGCCCATCAACGACATGTGCTTCACGCAACCAACCAGCAAGCAGCAAGGCAGATCGAAAAGTCGTAAAGTCGTATCATCATTACTACCACCCAAAGACAATTCAATCCCATCTTGCCGCAAAGTAACTGAGGCCCTTGATCTCATTACAAACAGTCTCTGCACCAGCGATGAAGCCCCCAGGGCCAGAAATATAGCACCAAGTATCCTGTGCCTCACTTCCACAAATTTCCTCCAAAGCTTTCCGCGTATCAAGACGAGGTCTTCCTCCTCCARTTTTGTGGACTCGAAATTCCAATCCTTCACATTCCATTCCTGTGAATCGTCGTCAGCGTAGTAGGTAGATGTATGGGAATTTCCAAACTTACCTGTGATGTAGGAAACATCGACATAGTCACTTTCCCGCACCGTCCAGATTACTATGCAACGGGTCCAGTACAATGGCCCATTAGCTGCAACCACTGTACACGCCGCGCCGGCTGTTGCTGGAACAGCTCGTGGAGCTGCCTTCCACTCTGATCGTGGTAGAGACCTTTGAGCTTGGAACGCTGCGGCAATGGCTATCGCTCCACTGAGACCAGTGCCTGCCACGAGACAGACAGTTGTCCTGTACAATTCTGGATTGGCCGGAGTGAAGTATGGTCCCTCCAATCTCAGAGTTGTTGCGACTGCATCATCTGTCAGATCGTCCAAGATTGGTGATGCGGAAGGCAGTGTGTATTGACTATTTCGGCGCGACGTCTCGACCTTCTCCTCGTCGACCAACGCGCCGAGCTTGTTTGTCCACTGTGTTGCCTTTTTTGGAGCTGCGTGCGCCATTCGTCGGAAGAGGAACTGGATGTCGATGGACTCTTTGTCTGCTGGAAGTGATTTCTTCGAGGCCAGGTGCGTTATTGTCGTAAAGGGATGTATCTCAGTCAATGAACTTTCGGAATGGTGGATATAGAAATGGGCGAGAGGCGAATGACATGCGCAGCCAGAGAGTCTCTTACGGGGGAGAGGGAGCGTCAAGCTATAATCGTCAGCTTCACATTTGACTGGCATGGTGAGTAGTGATGAATGAAGTACCTGTACCAGCCATTTCCGAGCGAACGAAGGCGCGAGTCTAGTTTCTGGCGCAGCTCAAACACCCGCATTGACCAGTCCAGAATCCACATCGAAAGCCCCGGGATGGTACAGTAGAACATCGTACTCGCGTGCAAACAAATAATGACCACCGCAACGATTCCAAGCAGGTGAAAGAAGTAGAAGACGTTGAAGTACTTCCGTCTTATCGCTGGAAAGCTGGTGAGGAACATCACCAGCATGATCAATGACGAGATGCTGCCCGTAAAGATCAAGGATGCACGCCAGACCCCAAGCGACGAGCGATTTCCCGGCCACGTCTCGTTGTAGTAGTAGGTCGGATTCAGTATGGGTAATATCGGCCGGAAGCGATCTCTATCCTGGTTCCACAAAGCTGCCCAATCGGCGTAAAGAGAGCCATGTATAACGACAAGCCCAAAGAGGATATATGCCATAGTCATGTGGAAGCTGTAGGTTGTCGTAGGTGACAGCTTGAAAAAGGATGCCAGTGCACTGTGTCTGGAAACAGGTAGGAGGACCATACCCATCGAGACATCAGACAGATGGCCGGTCATGGCGACCGCGGCGACAATGTTGTTACCAGGCAATCCAGCTCCGCGTTCGCCAAAGTAGTCCCGCAGGCGGATCCACCAGATTCCAATGAGAATGCCATAGAGTGACAGAACCCAGAAGACGAGAACAATACCGCTGATTCGAAGCTGCTTCCCCATCAATGGTACCTCCACTCCCAACGTCTTGGCTACCAACAAACGAACGCGAGGCTGGAAGGCGCGAAGCCCAAGCAGCGCGACCGATAGTGACAGCCATATATACCAAACCACGACATGAATTCGTGCTTGGAACGGGAACAAAGTCTCTCCGCACGTGCCCGCGAAGCAGTGAGTGTTGGAGCGGTAGGTGAGCCCGATGGAGAGGGCGAATGCAATGGAGATGCATCCTACCAGCGGCCACAAGCAGGTACGGGGTGTAATCCTACGCATATCAGGGCTGTCGCGGGGATGGGATGGCAAGGGGTGGGGTGGGATGGGGATTGACGGATTGATAGACTGGAGAACTTGCGAAGCATGAAAGAAGACGATGCGGGAGAAGATCACATACTCACGGCCCTGGGTCCTGCGAACCCGTCATGCCCTCCTGCAGGGCGAGCGAAGGATCCTATCGTAGATTTCAATATTGCATGTGAGGGATCCGCGATCCATCGTATCCTTGAATATTTTCATGGGAGACTAATTGGAATGCAGACCGTAGATTCCTGAATTGGGCCTTGTATTGAAGAGCTGTACGGGGTTTGGGCGTATTCATGGCGGATCAACGTGAAGCCGTGGTCRGGAGGAGCTCTAGACTGGTCGTCCGGCTTCTCAGCTTCCCGGACTCCTCAGCCCTAGCTTATCAACATGACTCTTTCACGTGGCGGAGTGCGTTGTCGAGAAATTCTACCTTCAATTGACATGCAGAGAAGGAAGTCGCGTGTAAGTGGTTGTTGATGAAGAAGGACGTGATACAATAACTTGCTCGCTTAATCGGTGGGGCTCTAATCTCGCGCCGTCAAGAAGTAGCGGCGGAAAATGCACGCCGGCGCCGGGTCAATCAAAGTCTCGTACGATGTGCTTTCATCAAGTAGACAAAAGTCTCGTACGACGAAACAAAAATCAACAATGACTTCAACACCGTGAACGCGGCCATTTTGAGAGACACATACACCACAGTCATTTCCCAGCCATGGGCTACGCCAAACTTTCAGTCGGGGTCCTTCTCGCAGCCATTCTCTACGGAATCTACACCATCCTCGAAGCCAACCTGGAACAATTCTACATCTTCACACCGGAGCAACTCCACAAAATTTCCCTCAATGCCATCGAGCAACATGGAAACCACACCGAGTCCGTAGTATCCAGCATCGTATCCCAACTCCGCGAAATCCCCACAGTGCAACCCCACCTAAGCACCTCCGAAGAATGGATCTTCAACAACGCCGGCGGAGCAATGGGAGGAATGTACATAATCCACGCCTCCATAACCGWATATCTCATAATTTTCGGGACGGCGATTGGAACTGAGGGACATACGGGTCGTCATACCGCGGACGATTATTTCCATATTATTCGCGGCACGCAATTCGCTTATAGTCCTGGATCCTATGAGCCGGAGGTTTATCCTCAGGGGAGTGTGCATCATTTGCGTCGGGGGGATGTCAAGCAGTATAAAATGGATGAGGCGTGTTTTGCGTTGGAATATGCGCGGGGTTGGATTCCTCCTATGCTTGGGTTTGGGTATGCCGATACTTTTACTAGTACCTTGGACTTTCCAACTCTGTGGAGGACGACGTGGGTGACTGGGAGAGAGATGGTGTTGAATTTGTTGCGCTTCAAGTTATAGGCGGGCGAAAAGCGATGTGGGAGTCACTTCAAAATGTACTGTTAAATCTGTACTAAAAGAAAAGAAGATTCGACTTGTGGTGTTTGTCGTTGAGGTATTAGTGGCCATATATTGGTTACGACCTTCTTGTGCTTGTTCAAGGGAAGAGAATCTTCATGGCTTCACTCTTTTCGCACGCCCGCATTCCCGCTTGTGTAATGGCTCATCAGGCCACGTCCATCCTCTCGCACGCTTCGATACTCGTTTGTCGGACTGAGTGATCTTTGGCATCCAATCGTCACGCGCATTGTGGTGCCTCCTCGTCAAAGCAGTGGGGCCACCAACATCGACTCTCCAGTGATACTGGCCCGGAAAGGGCTGCTCCTTGGCCAACATGTGGAGATACCAGAGGGCGAGACCGACCGTCATCTTGAGTTGGCCGTTGTTCCCCACTCCGCATGCAGATATTTGGATGGGAGCAGCCACTTCTAGGTGTCCAAACAGTGGGATGTTGTCTTCCGTGGGTGGACCACCAAGGCGTACGCATACAAGCTCAATCTCGGTCATGATGAAGCCGTATCGTGTGCCATGCTCGCGCATGAAGCGGTGGAGATGGGACAGATGCTCAAGGTATCGGACTTTGTCGATTGGAGATCCATTACGGTAACCAGAGTTCCACTGATCGTAGGACTTGATGATACCAACTACACGACCACGTCCATCGCCGAATATGGTCTTCTCGCCGTCGGATTGGTAGTTTGCCACGAATTCGGGTTGCTGTCGGGCACCGGGAGCTGATCTCAAAGTCCGCATGGCGATGTGCTTTTCTCCTTGGGCAACTTTTAAAGCAGCATTGACCTTGACGGCGTGATACGATGCACAAATCTCAGCCAGCTGGGATGATGTTTCTGGTGTGGAATTGACCTTGCCTGGAGTAGGCAATGATGTTGAGGAGACGTCAACATTCAAAAGATTCAATAACCCAGGGATTGATGATATAGTGTCCACATTGAAGTCGGACCATGACCTCAGATTGCGTATATCAAACCAGAAATGGTTATTCTGGAGCTTACTGGACTCGTAATTTCTTTGTATCAAAGATGGAGTGGGGTTGGGAGCCGTCAGGTACTCCAACACGGTCGAGGTATCCATATCAGCCTCGACATGATTTTCAAACTCTGACGAGAGCTTAGATGGATTTGCAGGCGGACTGGCAGTCCTGCGGTGGTTGGGGTAAGATTGGATTTGACCGTCGGGCATCGAAATTGGGGCTAGGTGGTTCAAAGCACTTGGTGCACGCGAGGGTGTCGGGTATCCATAACGTCTGAGCATAGAAGCATCAATGTTAGATGAGTTGCTATTACCGCGCGAGTGGGTCCGTATATTGGAGGTCGAAACCGATCTCGTGTTGCCGAGCGATGGCCGGAGGGAGCATGCTGAGTCTGATCGGACGCGGTCGTATGGTGTGGGCGATCGTGCTGGAACAGAGGCAACCACACGGCCTCGCTCATGAGGGCTTGCAGATCGCCGATGTAAGAATTCATGAACTGGCAAGACCGGGCCAAACTGCATGGAGAAGACATTGCCGGGCAGGGACGATGTTCGGCTGTGGCTGCCGAAGAACGAAGTGCACGTGGCTGGCTCCATGATTTGATCTTGATCCCTCGGTTTAGGCAGTAGGCGAGAGCCATTCTCTCGTATCCTGTAGGGTGAACGGGGTGGCGTAGATGCTGCTGTCAAAGCAGTCTCGGGAGACCAGCCGTAAGGGAAGCAGGAAGCATTGGTGCTAGCGCTGCCATTGTTATATTGGACATCGTCGAAGCTACCGTTCTCGATGTCCACTGGGGGTGTGACGTGTCTGAAGTCCATGGTGCTGTGTTTTGTCGTAGCTGCCAGAGCCGTGTTACTGTTGGTGTGCCGAGAGATGGTTATTAGACACTAATTGGATGTAGAAGGTTGAAATGGGAGACCAGCTCCGAGTGACTTGACAAGGGAAGGAACAAAGAAATGCGAACAGCAAGAAGACTCGTTGGACTCGTCACGGGCAGACGCAGCAAAGGATGATTTCTGTCGAGAGAAGAGCTGGGTGCGGCACGGGTGGAGAGGGCACTATATGCGCAGCGTGGAGCCATACCATATCCTCGCACTACACATTGCGGGTTGCGTTACGTAGCGTCCTTCTACAAGCCTGAAACAAACCCACCAGAACGACGGCGAGCATCCGAGCTCCCGCTTAGAGGTCCCGTTTGGCTCTTTGCGGTCATTACAGCTATCCACTCACCAACGCGAGGCCGCACTGAGGTCGGTGAAACGGACGGGAGCGGTGGATCAGTTCGTCTGCTGTTTCACCGAAGGCCCGTGTGGTGGATCGATACCAGGGAAAAACGTGGTTCGCAAGATGTAGGCTGTCGACGAGTGGTTGTTCTAACTCGAGAGCATAGCTAAACGCTGCCTCGGGCGTCTAGCAAGATGAAACAATGCGGGACGGGCATGGCGCCGGGAGTGCAGTAGTTCGTGCAGAAAGTTGAGGTGAGGTTGTCGGCGCGTAACAACGCGCCCGGATATTGTGGTGGCTGGTGATATTTGATGGATTCCGATTGGCTGAAGAGGAATCTGCAGCTTGAGAGGCAGAGAGGCAGATCTGCTCGTCCAAGTGTTTCAGACCATGCAGTTCATCGTGAGTCACTGATGATTTGGATTAGTWCTGCATTCTGCTGCTGGTCATCGTGAATGTCACGAGAGTCATCAGAGTGGTATAGTAAGGTGTGCTTCTCACCGCTTCGATTGATGAATTTCTCCTTGCACAGCATCACAGCAGCATCCATCWTCCTCGGCGCCACCTGCGGCAAGGTAGGTGCACGGTTCTGACCGTGGAGATATTTTGGGCAGTGGAGTCTGTTAGTTCTCTACGCGCGCGACAGAAGAAAGCGAGCATCATCAGTCCCACGGCTCGATGGTGGCATCTTGATGTCTGCAAGTCGCCTGACCATGTATGATGTCCGATCCATGAATAATGATGGCCGGACCTACCATCGCAAGATCCGGCAGTCGCCTACAGGTTCAGTTCAGCTAACTTAGGCCACGAGCAGGCGCTTTGCTCTGCCTTGGACACTCTCACACCGCCAAGAGTTGCAGTATTCGTATCGATGCACGCAGGCAATAATGTAGAAGGCACGGAAGACGTAAGGTACGTTCGGGATTGAACGCCGAATCGCGGCGTTGACAACTTTGCCAAGTAGCAAATGCAACTGTAGGATGACACCTTCTGTTTGCAACGACACCTTTTATCTCGATGATGTATAATTAATTCTTGAACACGAGCTGCAGCTCTGCCATCGAGCTACACCGTTGCCTCATACCTCTCAATCACTCCCTTACACAATGTCGCATCCAACCCCCAATCTCAAAGATCGCTTTGAAAAAAGTGGATTCATCATCGTCCCCTCGGGATTAAACATCGAACAATTAGACGAACTACGAGAAGCCAGCCAGAAAGTGACAGACTTAGCAAGAGAGGGCAAGTGGCCACATATTCGGACGTTGCCTCGCCAATTCCCTCCATGGCCTTCAGACCCCTCCTCCGGAATATGGGGAGTGCAACAGCTCATGAATCCYTCGTTACCGGGCCACGAACTTTTCACCAAGACTTACTTCTCGGAGACCATCGTCTCTACTGTACGGGAACTTCTAGGAGGCTGCAGTGAAGAGGCTCTTGTCATGGAACTCTACAATCTTCTCGTCCGTCCGGATCATGATTTTGAGCTTAGATGGCATCGAGATGATGTGAGCTGATGCCGCTTTCTTGAGCACGATTCATGATGTGGTGTGATTGTTGATGTTTGATCAGATCCCACCCACTGCAACGCCTGAAGAGCAAATGGAAAGATTGAGCAAACCTTCTTATCATGCGCAGTGGAACTTTTGCCTGTATGATGATGCTTCACTTATTGTCAGTCGAAATGAAAAGGGGCAGACTTGCGTGTTAAAGCCCGCCCGGACTCCTATAATCACAGGACTATAGGCTGACTTGAACAGGTAGTACCAGAGTCGCACAGCCGGGCTCTAACCCTGGCAGAGAGCCAGGCGGACCCCTTCGAGCCAAATATGCCATCGCAACTTGTCGTAAAATTAGAGGCTGGGGACATGGTATTCTACAACAACAACATCCTTCATCGTGGGATCTACAAACATGATGTTGAAAGATTGACCCTTCATGGAAGTATCGGACATGTTGATGGAGGGTCTCTGCGAGCTAGAAATGTTCTCCAGCATGGGAGAGATTGGATCGCAGGCGTCGATTTTTCACAGGTGGAGAATGTTGGTAGAGCGCGTGGGATGCGTGACCGCTTGTTGGAGTTGGGAGCGAAGCACAAGGAGACGGGATTCTCACATGATGACTAGGATTTTGGTGGACGACTCAATGGAGTCAGGCACCAGATGTGGTGAGAGCTTGTCGGAATCCCGCCATGTAGTATGCCTCTTCAGTGCCTCTTCGCTGAGACCTCGTCGTTATGGAAATCTTTCATCTGGCAAGTCCAGCGTGGTAGGCAAGCAAGCAAGGCATTGATCTGCAGTCGGATGAAATGCAGAGACATCAATACCCACTCCATCCTAACATCAACCGGAGTTTCAATTACTCCGCTTTGAAACTTGAAGCCGACAACATTTCCCATTTCGGAATTTCCATTGAACCTTCTTTTTGATGGGCTGGCTCCGAAGACACCCCCCATCGGGTATCAGCTTCAAACATTTCTTCGCCGGACAACAAATCCCTAACAATGGTTATTTAAAGTCAAGAGTCTTATAGACGCGTAAACGAAGAGTTCATAACAACATTACCTTACTTCTTTCACGCTAGGTAAAGTGCCCCCCTCCTGCAATGTCTGGTTCTGTAATGTCTTATGGCAACGTTGAGCTCGTTGTCCTCCAAAGATAGGGGCTCGAAGAACAAACTTTCCCACATTCGAGTACTTGCTACATCAGATTCTTGGGAAAACACCGTGTCTAACTATTTTGAAAAAACCCTATAGGTAGTGAGTGTATGAGTGTCGAAGTTCGTCTATCACACTACGTCTCGGTCTTTTCTGTTCTGAAGAATTGGAGAGCTATGCGCTACCAATAGGTTTCCAACGATCGAAATGCCTTCGTTTGTGATTTTGTGCGGAGACATAATGGTAGGTCTCAGACAACTAGACGCTTAGGAGTTGACGATTTTACTGCCAGATTGAAGGACGGAATGAATCGGGCGAGCATACAAACGCTGATCTCAAGATATTGTCGAGGTACCCACCAAGGAATTTTATATACCAAGTGAGTCGTAAGAGATTCGACAGTGCCGGAAAAAGAAAGACTTGTACTTCTGAGTTGCCTAGGAAGAACTTGTAAGTAGCCCAGGTGAAGAACAAGTCGCCGCACCTTCGACAGGATTGTACAGCACCCTACCACGCTAGGAAAATTTCCCCCTCCTCTTGAAGATCTATCGTGGCTGTTCGTAGTTCCTATTGTTTGGAACGATGTTCTAGCCCAATAAAATGCTAATGCCAGACGAAGAATCGACGCGAGTCATATCAATGGAGAGACCTGCCGACGTGGCGGGATCCCATACTCCAGAGACCGATCGATTAGCCACCGCGAAACAGGTAACTATCGCATCACATATCGGAGCGTCTTGATGAGTGGTAAAGGTTTTTTCCCGCAATCCTCCCCGGTTCGACCTATTCCGGCCAGTACTGCGATGTGGTGAAACAAGGTTCAGGAAAACTCCGAGGCGGCACAGTCGTTTCGAGCTCCTGTTGGACTAGGTATTGTCACTACATATTTCAGATCATCACCCGCGCTTGCTCAAGGTGATGTCGTAGAATCCTAGGCCACCTAAGAGATCGGTAGCGTAGAATGGCGACAAGTGTCAAGGCGACAGCTGCCTGGCTGAGGGCAAGCAAACAAGCTCTGGAGGTCGGACCCGCTRCATATACACCACCCGGCAAAAACGAGGTCGTGGTAAGAAACAGGGCGGTGGCGGTCAACCCACTCGACTGGTTCAAACGGGACGGCGGCAATTTTGTCTTCGGCTGGATCAAATATCCCTTCATCATGGGTAGCGACGCTGCGGGAGAGGTCGTCGAAGTCGGCTCCGACGTTTCACGCTTTGCAATTGGAGATCGTGTGGTGGGGCGTGCGGTTGGAATGGATCGTCGTAGCAATCGGTCGAGCGAGGGAGCCTTCCAAACGTATACCGTGCTTCGGGAGACAGTCACTGCGACCATCCCGGATTCATTGCCGTTCGAACAAGCCTGTGTTCTACCCCTTGCCCTTTCCACCGCTGCATGTGGGCTTTTCGGCCAGGATTTCATGGCACTCCCAGCTCCGACCTTGGACCCCAAGCCCACTGGTAAGACGGTTCTGATTTGGAGAGGTGCCAGTAGTGTGGGCTGCAACGCCATTCAATTAGCTCGCGCCGCCGGCTACGAAGTCATTGCAACTACATCGCCGAGCAACCATGACCTTCTACATACCCTTGGGGCCTCGCAAGTCTTTGACTATAAAAGCCCAACCGTCGTGAAGGACATCATCAAAGCCTTTGAGACCCGCACCACCGCCGGCGCCTTTGGCATCGGAAGCACTTCTGTCGATGCCTGCATCTCTATCCTTGGCAAATGCAAAGGTCGAAGATTCATCGCACAAGCTAGCGTCAATCTCCCTCCGGACGGTCTTCCAGCTTCCCTGCTGGGATGGGCACCGTTTGGTGCGGCAATGGCTTACCACAGCACAAGCTCGGCCATAAAAGCTTGGCACAACGGAGTGGCAATGAAGTTCATCTGGGGCTCAGATCCCGCGTGGAATGAGCTGGGCCCGATGATCTATCATCATTACCTCCCTCGAGCGTTGACGGAAAGCAAGTTCCTGCCTGCCCCCGAGCCATTGGTATTAGGAACGGGATTGGATCTGGTTTCGGACGGACTGAATATGAATTTGAAAGGTGTTTCTGCAAGAAAGGTCGTCATCAAGCTAGAGGGCTGAGGCGATCTTTTATCGGGGCTTGGGTCTCTGCTGAACGTGGCCAAGACGATTCCGGCGACATAGGCAGTCATGATGGCCTACACGCTCTCTCAGACAATATGATATTTGAAATTGAACGTCAATCTTACAAAGCTTAGCAAGCAAGTTGCACAGTCACCAGACCCGTGATCCATTTGAACGGGACATATGGAGTCCTGCAGTTCTTCAAAGCTCGGTAAAAGATCATCACAATCTTTGAATCGTATCACCTCGTTCGGAGGCTGGTTCTCTGGCTATGGAGCCGTCTCAAAACGACCCGAATTGGTCTGCGTTACGCCTGTGTGAACGGCCTGTTCCCGCGATCCAGAGAATATGCTCGACCAGGGCTTCTACGCGGAACTGGACGACCATTTTGATCATCTCGCGCGCGAAGCCAGAGTCAAGCAAGATGACTGTTCCGTGATTAAAGACTTGAGTTGAGGCCATTGGCCCAGTACGTCAGCGTTTCTGTGGTCTTCACCACTGGATCCCATGGTTGATATAGACAAGAAGTGCCTTTCCGGTATGGGCAAGACGGCGCGTCAATATCTGTCCACGGCTGCCAGAAGCAGACAGCACTGCGTTCTGTATTGCCCTTCGAATATCTCCAGTCGTGGTTGATGTGATGATGTAGATGCCGGCCAGCTGGACAGACAACAACGACGTCGTGTAAAATTGAACCGGGACCGGCCGGACCGGCATGTACAAACTTTAAACCCCCAACCTCCTTCCTACAAACTCCCCTCTTTGCACAACAAACACGATGCGCATTGTAGCCCGCGGCATCAAAGAAAATCCTACTGAAGCACCATCAGCAATCGCGGGTCTGTCGCGTTCAACATGGCCGTGGCTACTTCTCGACCACAAATCCGTCAGTGGCCACCCTCACACTGTCATATCGTTTGTCCACAACCCCCATTGATTCATCGTCGACCCTGTCCCATCGACTCTTGCTTGACTGCTGCTTCACAAAAATGTTATCACAATAACCTCTCTCACATTTACCTCCTTGAATCTCAGGCAGTTTCATCCAGCCTCCCTGAAAGGTACCTATCGTTACGGGTCATTTGGAAGGAAGGACAGCAAAACATGTAAAGAACGTCCTAACCCATCATTCGGTTGCCCGACACTTTGACATCCTCCGTACATGTATGTCTCATGTCAACATGCATCTTTTCCAGTCTATGGCATCGGTCTTTCTATTCCTTTGAACGCATGAGAACGCCCTTTCGTTGTGTTGAGTCGCTTGTTGCAGGGAACCCATTTTGATCGTTGCCTGCTTGTGCGCCTCGCACAGAAATCATTATCATCGCATTACCGGCCTTTTGCACAACCATCGCCCGCTGAAAATCCCGCTTGAACGCTCGTCAACACCATTTTCTGACCATTATTACATTCCGACCAGTCTCCCCGCCAGCGCCTTCCATTCTGATATCAGGAGCGTTTGCCCCAACTCGCAGATCGAAAGTCCAGCAAACATCCCAGTCGTTCGCTGTAGTGCACCTTTTCTTCTGCTTTCTCCCCTTCTCCCATGCTCGACTGCCTGCCGTCCGCATCGTTCGAATGTGGGAGATGGGAAACATGATTAGACCTACCTTCTTGCTTCAGCCCTTTCAACCTGTCACACGTCGGACCCASAGTCCCTCTTCCTCGCCCTCCTTTCTGCGGGCTCTCGAGATGGCAATGCCGATCTCGCGCTCCTCCAGCTCAATCTCACTCAGCAGAGCGTGCAGCTCAATCAGTCTCCGCTTCGCATCTCGAACGTGTGAGAAGGGCACTTCCATGGGACTAGCATTCTCAACCTTGGAGAGCTCGGCGATGACGCGCTGAATGTTACCTCGCTGGTGAATCTTGTCCTCCTCTGCCCTCTGCAAGCTTTCCAGATGTGTCCGCTGCGAAAGGTCGGGGGGCGGCGGCAGCTTCTTCGCAGTACCGGTTTCAGGCGACCTCTTAGGAGACCTGTTGCGAGACGCGTCGCGAGACCTCGGCGGACTGATCACGATGAGCTTGGGCTTTGCAGTAATGGGTAGGATGGACACAGCTCCAGGCACTTTCCGCGGCGGAGCCCGTTGTTCGTAATCCATACGCTGGACGGGGCGATGTCGGGATAAGATTGACCTGACTGGCGGAGTTGTGTACTTGGTCGGAATTGGCGGAGGTGGGCTTGGTGGCGGTGATTCGACGTGGGATGGCTGATGCAACGACGGCTGACGCAATGAACTACCCACGGTGGTCCAGCTGAAGCGACTGTCGGGGATCGGGTCGTACTCTGGCAGGGAGTGATGAYCCGACGTCTGGTATGAGTTGATGGAACACCTGACGTCGTACGATGGCCGTAGAGATGTTGGAGATGGTACGCCAGTAGTCCAGCTGAAGTGACTGCCCTTGATGACGAAGTCGTGCGACTCGTAATCGTTTGAAGGTGGCGAGCTGGGATAGTCGGGGGGAGAAGTGTAGATTCGAGCAGGAGCCGGCTTACGTTTGACGACGAACGGAGCCGGTGTCCTGGGCATTGCCGGCACATGGACCTGGAGTGGTCCCATCTTGTGTTCGCGGGCGGGTTGACGCGACGCAGAAGCAGCAATGGGTGAGACGGGCGAGACTGAGACATAGTCGAGCTGAGGCGGGCTTGACGGATATAAGTCGTCGTCGTGCAGGACTGAGACGGGCGACTCACTCCGTGGAGCGCTTGGCACTTCAGACGAACGATATGTCGGGGTCTCATATGCCGCACGAAAGGCTTGTCTTGCTGACTCGAGATCCCGGTCATTCTGCACCGAGTTCGCCAGAGGCGCCTTGTTGATGATTGACCGGACCTGCTTGAGGATTGGGAGTCGTGAATGGCGGGCCTGCTTGATCTGTGGCTTGTTCACCCGCAGAGGCGGGATTTCTGCGATCTCTGAATCTTCATCTTCGCTGTAGTGAGAGGTGGTAGTGGTGGTGTATGAACTGCGAACATGAGATTGTGGACGCGGCTCTTGCCATGGCAAGTCGCGCTGAATCGTGTACACGGCCATCAGCCTTTGATTGCAGGTGACGTGCAGGAAGCGATTGCTCAATGGAGTAAGATGAGCCTGAGTCGAGATGGTCCTTGAAGCTGCGTTTCAGTGGAAATCAGCCCGGCTTGAAGGGGCGACGTCGAGAGTACACAGCTGGTGGGGTGATGTTGATGATGATGATGATGACAGAAAGGAACAGATCGATACTTGCAGTCCAGGTCGTCTTATTACTGTGCAGCGACGTGCCGTCCAAAACTCTGTCAGGTGTTGTTGTGTGTGGGAGACGCGACTGGCCGTGGGGACAACATCAACGAGCGCGCGTTTCGCACTCGTGTTTCAGATCCGGGCTGATCTTGCATGGATGATGGGCTGACTAAAAGTGCTTGGACAAGGAATTGTCCGAGGGCTGACCTAAGGTACCTTACCAGACGATGCTTTGTTGGCTTTTTCGTTGAACCTTGGAGTCTGTAAGATTGTTATACACCCCACTGCAAACATGGCTGAAGGTGTGTTTGTGCATATCGTTGAAACAATTGGTTAAATGACTGACACGAACCCCAGAATCCACCATTCCCCAAGCCCAAGTGTACGCATACGAACAGACGACACCTCCTCCAATCGATGTCAGCTCAGCAACTGATGTTCTCGTAGGGCATCGATTGTCACGCCCATCAACCTCATCCTCTTCTCGCTGTTCCTGATCATCKTATACATGCGCTTGCGACCAAACAAGAAGGCCATCACCCTCCTTGCAGCCCCTCCGCCAACTGTCTTCAAAACCTTTACGCCGCCGCAACTGTTGCCCTTCAATGGCTTGAACAGCATGCCGGTCTACTTGGCTGTGCGTGGAAAGATCTTCGATGTCAGCTCCGGCCGTAACTTCTACGGTCCGGGAGGTCCATACCAGAACTTTGCCGGGCGAGACGCGTCCCGAGGCCTCGCATGTGGCAGCTTCGATGCAGAGATGCTGACAGAGGACCTTAATGGCCCTCTGGACAAGCTTGAGGATCTAGGTGGTGAGGAGATGGAGGCTCTCGCTGGTTGGGAGGCCCGCTTCAACGAGAAGTACCTCGTTGTGGGAAAACTGGTGCCTGTAGGTCATCCTGAAGCCGAGCCGGATGAGAAGGCATCGTGAGTACTCTGGACAACGGCATTCCACGTACGGTGAATCTATGAGCGGTGTGTGTGTGTGGGTATGAGCACGAGAGATCATCATCGCAGCGGACTATTCACGCGTTCAGCTGAGAACTCAAAATGAGCTTTCATGTGTTGATACGACTTCGTGGTGACGAAGTGAGGGATGAGTGAGGTCGATCAGCTATCTTCCTGAAATGCCGCAACCTCTTCAGCTGTGAGCCGTAATGTAACAGATGAAAGTATGAGAAAGTGAATAGAGGGATCGATTAAGTCGAGGGAGATGTCGAGTAAGCCTAAATTTCTACGCCACTACTCCGTTTGTAGTTCTGATAACATTTCACCCTCCTCGTCGCATCCTCACCTGAACATCAACATCTCCACGATAGCACCTGTCCGCCGGACATCGTTCCTCATGCGCGGAGATCAACTCTAGCATCCCTCGAGACATCTCGACAACCGCGGCCATGGTATTCTACAACCCGCCAAAGCGACAGCCTCGCAAGGCCGCCGATGGCAAGATCACCGACCTACCCGATGAGCTTTTGCTAAACGTTCTCAACTACCTGGGCCCAAACGACACTCAGAAATTCCGCGCCACATGCAGAGCCTTCGCTCCCATCGGCAGCACCGCCATTGCGCAAAGATACAAGATACTCTACATCTCGCCAATGCGCTCCTCTCTCCTGGCTGCAGTAGAAATCTGTGCACATCCGATCTTCAGTTCGATCATTGTAAGTTCGAGCCACTCCCATGAGGCGTTAGTTTCTAACGTTCAATCAGGAAGAGGTCGTCGTTCTCGGCAGCGAACCACAGCGGGAGCAATCCAAGTGGTACCGTGAATTCGGCGACTATCTCCTGACATGGCCGACCACATTCCCAACTGTCGGTAAGACAGTGGTCAGCAAGAACGAGAGCCCTTCCTCGGGCGGTTTCCTTGATATCTACAAGCCACTCTTGGATGCACTCTCGGCACTACCGCGTTTGAAGAAGCTTTCTTTCGCGAGCGCGGTCTCGCGCACCTGTCACGGCCTCAACCAAGTCAAGCGGGACTCTCTAATATCCTTTCCCAGGCGACACAACGGGAAGCCATCAGCAGACCACGAACGTTGGAGCGATGGCTACGCGATGTTCGCCATCTTGGCGTCCCTCGGCCCTCAGATTGAAGACTTCTGCTTCTCTGAATCACTCGCGGACTCGTACGAAGATCTCAAGGACGCAGAAATTGACTTCGCGCTGAGTGTGGTTAAGAAGAAGGCTCTGGACGGAGACGAAGAAGGCGAGGCGCGTCCGACGAACCTTCAATATAGAGTTCAGGGCAGCTACTTTGGACGGCCAGAAGGTCGTTACTTCATGCCCAGGAACACCTTCATGGTGGGCGAAACGAGTGCCATTGCCGGGATTCGCCGACATTCTTCGAGACGCGGCGCCCTGGAGATGCAATACACGCACAAATCCAAGGCAGCGTCGGTCAATCTGTGGATGTTGTAGAGGGTGGTGCTGGGTTTTGAGCGGCAGGTGTCAAGCAGCATTGGTTGTGGTCAGTCTAACACGGAGTTTTGCTTTTCAATTTGGGCCAGTTTCAATCGGAAACGTGGTAATTCGCTGCGAACAGGTATCTTCAAAATTCCTGCTGAGTCTCTGTCATTTCTCCAAAGCCTGCACTGGCTACAAGTTTTCAAAGGTGCCTATCTGTGGCAGCAATTGCCGCCGTGGATAACACATGTAAATTCTTCGACGGAAAAACTCACTCATTGCCTAAGCGGAGAACCCATTCTTCGCCAACCACTCCAAGACGATCCTCGCAATGTCATCGGGAGCCTCAAACGGACTCCAATGACCACTATGCACCTCCTCGACCTGCAAATTTTTGAGCAAACCCATAGACTTAGGTCCCTCAATCGCATCAGTTCTGCACACAGCATCTCCATCAGCACCAATGAACAAATAAGGAAGATCAACATGACCATCCAACTTCGACTCCGTAGCCTGATGAATGTTCTCGGCAGTGGCCCGATACCAACAGCCCTGGGAGACTAGACCGCCCGACTTCTTACTATCGATCCAGGCGTTCTTGAGTTCCTCGTTCCGCGCGTAGGGTTTCAACGGGCTGTCCTTGCGATCTTTCTCAACCCATTCCTTGATGGCTCCGCGGACGCAGAAGAGATTCTTCATTTGAGCTGGGTCTTCGCCGTGGATTGCATACCATAAGCTCTCGAGGTGTTGCTCCATTAGTTTCGGACCTTCGGGGTCGGCGAAGAGGAGCCAGTAGGCGAAGATCGGATACCCGACGACTTTCTCGGTATACGCGTTGAATGTTTCCARATCGAATGCATCAGCTCGCGGTGGTTGAAACGCGACGTTGAGAGTTATGAGCCCCGCCATGCGATCCTTGTTCAGGAGATAGAGACGCTGAGCCAAGTATGAACCCCTTCCCAAGAATCAGCTACTGTGGACCGGTCAGATGGGGATACAAGCATACCAGTCGTGACCCATGGGGATGATTTGTTGGGTGATGTTCTCTGATTTGAGGACCTCCATCATATCGTCAACCATTCCTTTGATCTCGAATGCTTCTGGGTTGATGGGCTTGGAGGACTGCCCAGCTCCGAGCAGGTCTGGGACTATGAGTCTCAATTTCGACTTCAGTAGCTGTGGAACGACAAATTGCCACAAATCTGCTGAGTCTGGCCATCCATGGCAGAGGACAATAGCAGGCTTCGATGCATCCGCAGATGCTGCTGGGCTGACATAGTAGCGATAGTGGAAACCCCGGCTGGTTTCCAGGTGCTTTTCTTCGAGTTGGTCCATGCTGTGAAACTGTGCGTTGGATGATGGAAGAGTGAAAAGGGAGCAGTGGAAGAGAAGGAAACGCGGACTTATTGTTAAGTCCAGTAAGAGGGCTGTCGTGCCAGTCTATTGCCAATGCTAATGCATCATAGCGAAGTGTGGTGGGGTGATTACTAGTTAGCAGCTCGGTCATTCATTAGTGATCGAGGTGATCCACATTCTAATGGGCTATTCTAGATGCTGGGAACAAGCGAACCATACGGCCGTAGCGATTGTAGAAAGGATTGACTGCTTGTGATCAGCTCCCAATTGCCGACGATACATGGCCACCAACGCGTCAAGACACGACACAGGTGAGGTTGACGCGGGAGGAGGATATGGCCTGAAACAAGGAAACAAGGAACGAGGGAAGGTGAACGCGTGACCGACTTCGCTAGCAAGTTTCTTGGCATATATCAGCCGCAGTCTTCATCTGACTTGATTCCATTTCATCAACTCCCACGACTCGGACAACATGGCAGCTTCAGTATGCGTCAACAACCAGTATTCATCGACGGAGTTCGTCGAATCCGCAGGCGCGATTCTTTTCCATGCCTCGACCAAACAGATCTGCCTCGTACATTCTCACGAACGTAATCAGTGGCTTCTAGCCAAAGGCCGAAGGAACATTGGCGAGACACGTCAGCAGACAGCAATTCGTGAAAGCCAGGAAGAAACCGGCTTTCCCTGCCGACTGTTGCCCGTAACTTTGCGAACAAGATGTACGCCAGATGCCGAAGAACTCGAATTCACTCCAGACGTGCCAAGACGATTCGAGAAAGTCACAGAGCCTTTCATGCTCACTCATCGCATCCTACCTGGCAACAACGGAGTCAAACTCATCTGGTGGTTCATCGGAGTGATTGATGAAAATGCGCCGTTGCTCAAAGGCGAGGACATGTTTCTTGCGAAGCTGTTTGGATTCGAGGACGCCATGGCTACTCTGACGTTCGCATCTGATCGCGATATTGTGGCGCGAGCAATCAAGGTTTACGAGGAAACAATGTCGTGACTCGCAGGAACGGCCGTGAGAAACATCTCGGCGCCGTCGTCAACATGGTAGCCATGCAGTGAATGCTCTTCTTCCCTACCAGGTCACTTCGTCGTGAACCGAGCGAATCTGCCGGCGGAGAGCGTCCTCCAAAACAACGACCGTATTGAGAAAGCACGCTTGAGAAAGATTATAGGAGGTTTCCGCGGGACTTTCCTGATTGTTGAGCAATTCTCATAATTGACAGCTCTGTACATCTGATGTATCAGATGCGAGGGCAGAAGGCGTGTCTCAAGACCTCGCAGCGACTCTCTCTCTCCTGCGCCAGCAATGACCATGGAAACAGCTTGCCTCACATGCTCTCAAAACACCGTTGCGCGACGGAGAGTGAGAGAGGGTGTTTGGAAGACTTGCTAACGAAACACATTCTCTTCAAGTCATGCCAGTACCCACAAAATCTTCACCCTTGGATGAAGCAGACCACGTTGGAATCAACAGAACGATTCAATCCACGTATCTCAATCGAATTTTCAAAACAATCTGCCTGGGTATAATCTAGCTTTCTGTGTGTCCGGCTGCTCGTCTGCTTCGTAATGAGTGACCTATGCGTTCTGTCCTATACAGTAATTCACAAGTTGCTGGCCATGCACACCTTTGGCGTCCTCGTGTCCTGTACAGCCATCCTTGATTCGTTCATCTCGTGCCAAAAATAAATCGTGAATCCCACAACGTCGCTCTTCGTATTCTGTCACAAGTTTGTCCTGCCGTTTCACCTCTTGAACATCTGATCGTCCCAGCCGATGGAGCCCGCGTCTTGTCCTCCCAACGACGATATCTCCGGCAAGACTGGGAGTGTCTCCTTCACACGCTTGGGTCCGCGAGTATCCTCATTCACGACACCCAATACGCCGTCAGAGTCCATGGTGAAGAATCCCGACTTGCGCTTGAACCAACCGCTCGACCGCTTCTTGTGGAGCGTGTTCGGTGGTCTGGAAGAGTGCAAATATGGCGGCTCTGTCGCGGATGGCGCAGTAGTGGTGTAGTTTGACGCTTCCAGCTGTGACACATCTTGATAGGACGAGCCTGGCCTTCCACCTCCGCTGAAAGAAGATCGGGAGCTGGTAAAGGACTGGCGCAAGCTGGACATGCTGAAGATGCGGCGTACGCCAGACGATCGCCGCGTGCCGGGTGCACTGGCATGCATTGGCATCTGGGAGGTGGGCACAGGAGAGGTGGGCGCAGCAGAGGTGGAGGTTGTCAAGTAGCTGTCTGCGCGTTCTCTGTTTCCAACAAAGCCAGTGCCGGCGGTGGATGTCGATAGCTTCGGGTGAGGCTCCATTTCGGGGTCRGGCGTGGGAGGAAATGTGTTTGGGACGCTGAAGACTTTCTCCGTGGTCGGATGAGATGTCAGAGGGCCTCCGCCTGGTGTTGGAGGGCGAGTGATGTTCTGTTCTGGGGATGCTGGGGGTGTATCCTCTGGTGGAGGAATGTCGGTGCCAGATGTAAGAGAGAAGTTGACGATGGAGACGGGAGGTAATGCTGTGTAGCGCGGCTGTGCACTGGTGGATGCCATCGTTACGGTGGTGGAACTGGGCCTCGGTGAGGGCGTTGTCCCCAGCCTCTTCCACACTTTCTTTGCTGTCGTGACGAGTGTGCCGTCGCTGTCCCGCGCGAATCAGATCAACGGAGCACAAAGTTCTTGAGCAGCGGTGCGGTGCGGTCACTGCGGTGACTACTGTACGGCGGCGCGTTGCGTTCTGCGTGCGCGTCTCTGCGGCCCTTGACGTTGGATCCAATGCGGAACACGGAACGACCGTTGCGATTGGCGATTGATCGGCGAGGTGCGATGACGACAGAGATGAAACCAAATGGATGACTGTACGTGTAGGTAGGGACAGTAGCCAGCCAGCTGGCCGAGCAGTCTGGCCGAGTGATCGCAACGAGAGCGGGAGTGATCGCTAGAATAACAGAATTGATTATTAGTATCATACCTACAGTACATGTAAGCTGTACAGCTGGGCCCCACGCGCTTGTACATAGGCGTACCTAGATCTTGTGCGCACTAGACTGAACGCAATCACAATACCTTAATCGCAGCATTTCTCCGGCGGCCGGCAGAACCGCCCTGTCGACTTCAACCCATGAATCGTCGTCGAGTGAACGAGCGTTTGGCGTCGGTGGAGAAACGATCCACGTCGGATGATGATCGAGGAGCTGAACTTGGTACGCTCTCGTTTCCATCCACAAGGCTGATGGAACAACACGATCACGCTTGGTAATGATGATCGGAAGCGGATCTCGAGCCAAGCAGGAAAAAAAAAAGGCTCATCGAGATCCAGACCCATGCCCGTACGCCGCAAACCCCAACACGGGCTGCAGCTCCGCATATGAAACTGTTGTACAACACAACATCATCTCCACGGGCCTGCTACGCTCTCTCTCGGATCGCTAACTATGGATGGACGTCGGATCACGCGAAAGGCTCTCGCCGTCCAGACACTCACATCATAAACCTGCATGTCGCTTTCTCCCGATCAGGAGTCGCTTGTGGCCGACAGCCTGCGAGTCTGGCATGTGAGGCGAGCTTGTCAGGTCGCGACGTTGAGCGGCCCTGACGGCAGGAACAATACACGCGGTCAACACGGCGACGCAGCGTTAAACGCCTTGCTACGATGCCTGCTCTACGAGCTGGCAGGCGACATCGCTGCCGTCACACTTCTGGATCAGAACACGCAATATTTCCTGGCCGTGGTTCCGCGATCTGCATTGCACAATCCCCACGTCTCTGGTGAGATGAGAAAATGGTATGGATGCCAGTCAATCTCACACGAGGGTGGACTCTGTATCCGCACCATCACCATGAAGAGTGACCCAGTCGCAGAATCTGTCTTTGAAATCTACGATTTGACACAAGGACACACCAGGATACTGCCTGTGGTGGATGGAACAGCCGCGTCCTTTCGGCACTACCTTGGAGTGCCTTTGAGTCTTCGAGACGGTCTAAGGATTGGTACTCTATTCGTCTTCAGAGATCAGCCCGCCCAAGAAGGTCTCTCACGACCCCATCGTCATTTCATGCACGAAACAGCGCGTCAAGTCGTTGATCAAATACAGCTCAGCATTGAGGCTCTGGAGAGCAAACGTGCGCTTCGCTGTAGCTCTGCTGTACTTGGCCTTTTGGACGTCTGTGGTACAAACGATCAGCAGAACAGACGCAGAGACGGCAGGGCTGCAGACATGCAGAGTCTTTGCGCCGAAGTATATCAACATGGCGCAAAGCTGTTGGCTCATGCTTTCGAGCTTGAAGGCGCCATCATTCAAGAGCTGCCCTGGTCAATATATGATGCAAGTTCCAAGCAGCCGCGGAAAGCAAGGCTTCTTGGTCAGCATTATGGATCTGAAGGACCTGCCCTGGGTCCATTGCCAGATGAGTCTGCTAAACAACTCCTTGAAGCATTTCCCTCGGGTGCTGTATGCCATCTTTTGCATTCAACAGACGGCTGTGGTACCTTCGCTGCCTCTGTCCCTGGCAGCCCAGAGTTCAGCACGGAGATCAATGTTCAACTTCTCCGACACAAGACCGTGCCGGAGCAGTTCGTCTTCCTGCCGCTCCTCAATACCTATCACCATCGCCATACCGCTTTCGTGCTAGGATGGGCTGTTGAGCCAACCAGAGTGTAAGTCGAACTGAACAGCGTACTGTACGAACTAATGGCTTATGCGGTCTATATCCTCTAAACGAAAGCACCCTGTACATGCGGATGATCCGCCTTGATCTCGAAAATTGTAGACGTACGCTAACACGTCTTACCCTCTGCTCAGGTACTCCAGCTCAACCGACTTGTTGCCGTTATCAGCATTCGGTGTGACCATCATGAGTCAAGTCCGCCAGATTGAGGAGCAGCTACTAAACAGGAAGAAGAACGATTTCCTTGGCTCAGTGTCTCATGAGATGCGGAGTCCACTGCACGGAGTCATGGCTTGCCTGGAACTAGYTCGAGGGGCCGAATCATATACAGAGCAACTCGAGCTGATAGACAACGCAAGCTCATGTGCACTTCAGCTCGGCGAAAACATCGATAATCTGCTGGCTCATGCGAACATCGGCTCACCTAGTCCTAGCCGAGAGCTGCAAATGCAGCTCCGCCTTCCAAGCCGGCCTGCAAAAGATGTACAATCGCCCTGCGGAGAGATTTCGCTGGCACCTAGTGGCATCAGTCTGACGACCTTCATCGAAGATGTCGTCGCGAAAGAGAGGAGCAAAATTTCGAGCATGACGCCGTCCGTTGAGCGTCGGGCCGATCCTCTATCGATAGAGGGCTTCACGTCGCAGGCAGTTGTGGTAGTAGACTCGACGCCTCTTGCAAACATGTCCATTTTCCCCGAATCGGATGTCGGCGTCATTGTTAGCAAGCTACTTGTAAGTTATCCTCCAGACATGCGTGCACTCGGCACGACATACCTTTGAACGTCTCAAGATCTGCAAGMTWGAAGACCGAGACTGACCATTGCATCAACAGGGCAACTGCCTGAAGTTTACTAGACCGACTGGTTGCATTCGAATCTCCCTGGACGCTGATGAAGCCGACGTACGGCTGCTCTTTCGGGACTCAGCATGCGGAATATCGCCGGACTTTGTTCATCACAAGCTCTTTGTGCCCTTTGCTCAGCAAGATCCCCTCGACCCTGGAATGGGCCTTGGTCTGTCACTGGTTCATAGTGCTGTTCAGCGCCTTGGCGGTACCATCAGCTTTCACACCGATGAAGCCGAAGGGACCGACTTCACGGTATCTCTACCCAAGGCTCACTTCGACGTCGATGATCAGKGCTCTTCCAAAGGCGTTGTAGACTTTTCTGCCTTGAGGGTACTGCTCCTGGCGCCTCGCTGTTGGACTCAGGATGGAGACGATCGCGCGCGCGCTCAGCGTTGCCTCGACGCAATCGTCACATCTCTGACACGCACGCTCAGCACTTGGTGCCTGGTTGATCTGGGAGTCATCACGGAGCTAGGCGGAACCCCTGACATAAGTACGAACATCGTGTTCGTCCTGTATTCAGACTTCGAGCTGATACGAAATGCTGCTGGAGAGGCGTTTGACAACATGAAGAAGGTAGTCTTCTGTCCTGATCAAGCCGCAGAGTCGTACGTGCAAGTCTCTGCACCCACAACGTGCATAACAATATTGGGCCCTATCGTGCCATGGAAGGTTGTATCGGCCTTGAGCAGATTGTCCAAGATGAATCTTGGTCAGGCGATGCCCCTTGTCGATGCAGTAGTGGCGAGTGTTGGGGACCCCGACCGAATCACATTAATGCAACAATACAAAGAACAGGTAAACGGTGCCCAGGACGAAGACGCATCCTCACATCGACCCACGCAGCCAAGTGCTGGGGTGTCCCCCACACAGGATGGAATCACATATACGCATCGAGAGCCGAAACTTCTGCTCGTGGACGACAATGCCATCAACCTCAAAGTCCTTGAGAAGTTTGCGAAAAAGTGCAGCAAGGTAACTGCCGTTCCTGCTGGAGGCGGTAAAGCAGCCGTTGAAGCGTTCAAGACGGCACAGGCCACACAAACTTTCGACATCATCCTACTGGATCTTTCCATGCCTGAGGTGTCTGGCTTTGACGTTGCGGTGGCAGTGCGCGAGCTGGAACTCGGTCATGCGGGAGAACATCCACGTACCTACATTGTTGCGCTGACGGGTTTGATCAGCGACAAGGATCGGGATGCTGCGTTTGCGGCCGGTGTTGATGAGTACGTTACGAAACCTGCTTCGCTGAAGGACGTGCAGACTGTTATTCATAATTGGAGAATGATACAACGCCTGGAATAGGCCAGATTTTTTAAGGGCGAACAGTGCGTGCCTTTCTTCACAGAATGAATGGAACCAGAGGTTTCGACTACTAGCGACCTCACTTGAACCTCGATACACTCTGTCAGAAATTTATCGGCAGTGAGTCTGCAGTCTGCTGTCACTCGCCGCGCGCCCCCATTTCCCACCTCCTCGTCGTTTCTTTTGCAATGTCTTCTACTTCAACCTCTTTTACCTACCTATGTACGACGACAGCCCCTTTATACTGGATGATAGAAAGCTATACGGCAATTCAGATGAGCTGTCTCTCTAAATTGGAGCTCTTCGCGCGCATTGAGTCACCTACTGGGCTCCACATCTCGCGATTTGGCTCCTGAGTGGAATTGATGATCGATAGGGTCAGGGTTGGGGTAGTGAAAGTCGTTTTTAAATGCCTTTGTTCGTTCAGGACTACTGCACTGTACATTATGACAGTATGTCATGCCGGAAATCGTAAGAATTGATGTACCACGGTCGTGGTAGTATTTGAAAGCTCAGGTTGTTGTTTTTTCTCACACTCCACGTTTGGCAAAAACTTTGCTGGTGACGACCACTCCGTTGCACAGACATCCCGACAATTCGTATTTGTAAAACCAGGGAGCCTCACTACTGCACGACTTTCCTATAACTGTTCGTGGTCAGGAACAGTGAGCGACTCGATCAGCAGACCACGAATAACTGCAGGAGTGGGTCAAAAGCAGACGCAGGCGAGTGTAGAACTTCAGACATCGATTGAAACTACATTCTGCCATTTCTATCGACTTCTCAACATCGAGTGGCACTTAGAGGGCGCTCGCAGGTGACTATCGGCGTCGCATTATAGGCGATGCGGTTTGGTGACACCTACACGCCTGAGATGCCTGTTACTTTTTGCTTTTCGAAATGTTGGTGGGCGTTCAATGTTCAATTGAAACAAAGTCGTTTCTAACAAGCGCAGGCGCGGCCGGAGATCGCCCTTGTACAATCTCAGAAGTCTTCTCTGGACTACGAAAGGCCGCCCAGTGAATGGAGAGGACTCCAGGAGGTATTTTGGAGTATCATTGGAGAAGAGGTGATGTGCGCACATCAGCTCTTCGCGTTCATCTCATGAAATGTGACGGGATAGGTCTCGATCGCTGCTTCATTTCTCGTGGCATTGATTTTGCTTCGTAGAGCCGATATCATGATGCTGAATAGCGGCCTTGTGAAGCTGTGATACGCCTGTATCAATCGCTCGGGTCGGATGAACAATCACGACTTCCTCATGCTGCGGCCGCAGCAGCCGCCGCAGCAGCCTTCGCAGTCATAGCATCGATTCTGCCAGTCCCGCGGCTCGAGAAGACCGCCATGATGCCAAACCCGAAATAGAACAGTGCAAGCGGGTATGCAACCAGACCACGCATGTTGGTCATCCTCCCGACAACGCAGAACATGGCAGAGCTGGAGTAGGTGCACCATGCAATAGCCAAGCTAACCAGGCAGTATCCGACAAATGAGTCCAAGGGCAAGACAACAYCCGCAAAGCTGGCAAACACTAGCGGAAGCAAACAGTAACCCAGGACAGAGCTTGATCGGCCGAGCGTCAATGTTGACGAGAGATTTGATGAGCCATGGTAGTTGCTGTGGGAGCTCTGTGCGGCATTCATCTCGTCCTGGGAAAGTGGTGGAGACATCATGCTGAAGACGAAGTTCAAGCTGATGGCACCGAGGGCGGCAAGACCGCAGACGTAGCCAAACCATAGTTTCCCCGTCTGTTGACGAAGGCATTAGTAACGATAGGCCGTGTGATACATCCACAAAGACTCACAAGTAGCAAGAACGTCCCGAACAGACCGCAGAAGAGCAAAGGGCCCGCTAGATCTGCATCGTCCATGATGTGCTGGTCGATTCGTCCCAACGGGTTCAGGACTGTGAGTGTCTACCATTTACCAGTCAGCACATCCTTATGTCCTCCTTGCACACAGCAGCTTCACTGCCTACCTTTGTTTGAATATGGTGAAAGTTGACGCCCAGCTCTTCCAACAATGGTGGCTCCCCATCATATCCCTCTGTCCCAAAAGCAGCCAGCCATCCCGTTCTTAAGCCGCCCTGACCTGTGCCCATCTGACCAGACGCACCCGGAGCAGCCGGGAATGCGCCAAAGCCGTAGTTCGCGGCTCCTCCTCCATAGCTACCAGGCTGTCCATACGCTTGTGCCTGTCCGGGGTTGCCAAATGCCTGGAATGGTGTGCTTTGACCAGAAACGGGTTGGGCAGAGTATGAGGATTGGTAGAAGTTCAGGTTGTTCTGGGCCGCGTATGAGGGTTGTTGGCTGCCTGTCGGTGGGGATTGGTAGCCATAGTTGGCCATTGTGATGCTGTTTCGGCCGCTTTGCGACGTTTCGAGATGTTGAGGCGTGTATTTTCCAGTAGAGAGGTCGAATGCTTCGGCGGGATGGGAGTGACGGGTCAATTCTGGAGCGGTCAAAAATGTTCTCGGAAACGTGTGCTGTTGTCCCCTTCGTGATTTGGAGATCCCAGCTGATGGAGGTGCTGACTGAGCTCAGGGTCCATTCCCAGGTTTCATACCGCGACGCGACCTCCACTTCTCTTCCCTTCACATAACGAATGACCAAGCCACCCGTGGACCGTCAACCCTGGCGCCTTGTCCGGAAACATATCGTACGAGTGGCCAATTCGGATTGAGATATCGCCATCATTGCAGTGGCTTAACGAGAGAATTTCAGTCGAAGCTTACCAGGCGTGATGTACGTTGTAGGCCAGACAGGCCGACGAACACAGAATTGAATCGCGATGGATTCTGACATGGCCGTGAACTGCTGAAAACATTGCGGCTTCACCTGTAGGAGTCTTCGAGTTAAGACTTCGAACGCCTCTGATATTCTCGCCAGAGCGTCATCGTAGACATGGAAAACTGATCTGACCTTCAACTCGGAGCCAGGATGCCGTACAAGTCGACCCATCGTCCGTTGTGGACAGATGCTGAAGATGAAAGCAACAGTCTCTCAGCAGAGGCAATGCTTCGCCTTGTCAAACGTGCCTAAAGTTTCGACAACCTGAGGTACAGTATACCTCTCGGCCCCGCGATCATCTTGATCTCTCTCAATCACATATATGTTCCTATCTCATATCTGGCGGCCGCTGGCTCTGGAAGAATATACACCGCCGCGAATCCCACATATGACATGGACAAGATAGTGGACGCTGTCAAGACACTCAATCCTTCGACCACTCTGGTGCACCCGGAAAGCATGGGAAACGTATCGAAAGCTACATCACAGTTTGAAATCCAGCTTCTCTGATTCTTCGAATATCTCCATTTCCCAAGGCGTACGGGAGGGAAAGGTTATCCCAATAGTATAGTTTGCGTGACTGAGATCCCGCGATCGATGAGTAGCAAGATCAAGACGAATGGTATGAAGGAGCGGGCGACGGAAGACAAGGAGATGCTGAATCATGAAGAGAAGGCAAGGCTTTAACAGCAAGTGAGGCTTCTAGACGGGCTATGAATCCCCAATTCATGTCTCTGTCAGCTCAATCACAGTCCACACATGCWCCCCATAAGTCAACTTGTCACCCAGCTCAAGCTTCTCCGGCTCCGTAACAACACCACAAGGAAGAAACAGGTCTCCCATCCGAACCCTCCGCTTCCAAGTGAACTGCGTCTCCTCATCCCACGCCCAGCGCTCCACAGCGACCTGATTGCCAACTCGTATGATACCTTGGCAGTACTGACCCGCACGCACCACCAGACCGCGTGCTTGGTGTGAATCATCGCGAAGCTCCAGCACCGCACAGTCAACCCGTCCATCCTTTCTCCCAGTACATTTAAGCGGAATGTCCGCCCATTTCTCCTCATATGCAGTGACTCTACCCGTATCGGGATTCACCATACTGCCCAATTCCAAGACTTCTCCGTTTGGTAGTGGGTAGTTAYCACCTTCATCCTGAACACCGTCTGCGTCCGGAGTGCGAGAGTCTATCCAGTGTTTCCAGATTCCGTGAGAGATGGTTTCGCCTTTGGGACCTTTCTTTGGCTCGGAAGATGAAACCCCCGCGAGACCCCACTCGAGTTGCTCGAGAGGTTGAACTGGCGGGTCGTTAGCTGGAAGTGAGATTTCGATATTGATCACAGTTGTCTTGCCTCGGAGAACTGGTTCGCCTGATGGAGACTCCTTGAACACGCGCAGATCGACGAAACGATTCTTATCAGAGGTTGTCACAATTGTTGAGGTGTTGTCTTGGTCTGGAATCGGGTCTGGAAGCCAGCGGAGATAGTGCCGCTTGGATATGTTTGGAGGCATGCTTGAAGCGTTCGTGGGTGGTTGGGAAGATTGTGGTGTTTTGGCTTCACGTGGTGTTTGTTTGTTGGAGATGTGGGGATCGATCTTGGAAGCTCATGCGGGAACTTTGGATGTCTGCCAAGCACGAAGTTGAGCATGTGAACGCGGAACAGTCTGAATATGAAGTGAACTGAATGGAAGAACAGACTGGGTATCTGAGGTCTCTCACAAGCCTGAAAGAAGTGAAGTTTTTCGTAGGACAATCCATCTACGTATCACTTCGCGAGATGGTAAGCTAATTAAGAAGGCCGATTTTCGAAAGCACAACAACGCGTTCGTTAATGGTCGTCTCTACGTACGTCAGATCAGATGTACTATATACAATCATGTGCAATCTGAAAAGGCTTTCCAGTTGCATTGCTCTACTCCCACTACACAGCGACCAAGTGAACATTGCTTGTGGTCTCCTCAAGAGGCGTAAGCGGATTGTCTGATACACTAGTATCAAACGGATCGGTTGACTCGTCAGCTGGCGTTGGCGGGATGGTGGTGAGCTTGTGAGATTGAAAGCCATTCAAGTTGAATGCATTGGCGTTGAAAGCTTGGAAGTTGTTCATGGACGGTAGACTTGTGGGACATCCATGGCTGACGCTGTTACGAACGTAGTCGGGAGTACGATACACGAATTCAGACGGCAGTGAGCCGCTGGAAGCACCGGCAGTCACAACACTCGAGCTGCGGGAAGTCTTTGGTGGTGGCGGTGGTGGAGACTGAAAAGCTGTCGAAAGTCTCCTGAACATGGCGCTGCCTGCACTTGCAATTCCGTGGGATGGTGCGGCCTTGTCTCCTTGGGGATCAGTCGCGTCCATCAGATAAAACACACCCTTCAGACTAGCGTTCAGCGCAACAACTGAACCTTTGACCGTGTTCCAAGAATCTTCGAGGCGAACGAAGTCATCCATCTTCGAGTCGATGGAGTTGAGTTGCTTTGTCACAACTTCGACACAGTCCGCTGCAAGCGTGAGCCCCGCAATGTAGACATTCGCGGCTTCGTCCTGAAAATGAATAGGCTGTGACTGGATCAGGGCGATGGCAGAACTGCTCAACTTGTCAATTGCCGCAGCCGCGACATTCTTTTGCATTGTAATATCGACATAGATTTTGGCTCTGTCTGGCATGCCGTCCTCCCTCACCGAGTTCTTGAGGTTTTCATATACTTTCTCGAATGCATCCTGGTGAATGTATGCAAGTCCGCCGTTGAGATTGTCCATCGCAGCAAGAAGTGTATCGGCGTCGTCGCCCATTGATGCCGTCAAGGTAGCAAAGTGGTTAGTTCCCTCCATTAGGCCTGCAGCCTGGAGAGCCTTGAAGAAACCAAAATCGCCACTGCGACTGGCACAATGAAGGTTGTGCCTGACGAGGGCTATCCGCTGCGTCCAATGTAGTCGCTTGATGTTAGTGGTTGCCATTAAATATGCTTGGGTTCGCTCGGGCAAGCCTGATGGAAAAGAATATGTACAAGATTTTGACACCAAAACATCGGAACTGATCCCTTTGAATTTAAGCTATGAGCAGCCCATTGTTACCGATGCTGAGTTACATCGGCGATGCGAAGGTTGTTTCTGATCAGTTTGACTATACTGATGGTCCATGCTCAGATAAGAAYGCCATTGATGTTTCCAAAGGCGTGCAGTCAGGATCCAGGAGTGTCGATGCAAGCCAGGTTGTCGGAACATTTTCCTTTGTTGGCATGTTGCGCAGCAGCTTTTCGCGAACAACACTCGCTAAATGTTTCTTCTTGAAAACAATGACCCTGTCGTGGTTCGGCCAAAGAACAAAGATGGTTTTCAATGTTTCAAGCTAGCTCTCAAACCTACGAGCATGTGCCAATGCTGTCAGGAACTGCAACATTTGGCGGAAAGTGGTCGGTGCATGTGCAGCAACCAAAACCGGTCATGCGCCACTTCTATCCCCTGGATGGCTCCCGACCAGCACTGTGAGTACTGCATCAGAGCACCGCTGTCGACAACAGGACTGACCATAGCTCCTTCTGTCCTGAGCAGTTCCTTCCTTTACCGCAGAGCCCGAGAGTCACCGAATTCTCACTAGCTCGCCGTCCATGCCCATGATCTGGAGCCCCGTCTTTTTTGGCAACTTGTTGAATCGTAGCGCCCCATGCAGCTACCAGCATGGTCAGAATAGCCGTATCTACAACCGAATACAGGTCAGCAATTGCATCTCGTCAAACAGTGTGGTGCCTTGGAAGGGTGATTGGAAGTGCGAATCAGATTTTCTGGTTCTSCTCAGTGTCCAAAAGGACGATGTCGGAGTCTAATTAAAACATTTTTTTTGTGTGTGTAGCATCATGTAAATCAAGAGTGTCGAATGAGGAGTCGACTTACTCTTTTCAAAATTCGTCCAATCTCGCATCGAACGGATTCGCTTCTCAGGGCCGCCATATGAGTGTCTGGCGATTGCGGAATTGGATCCAATGTTTTTCACAACACCGCAAGGAAATCCCAATGAGTCGCGCAATGCGCTGTGTTCGCCGTATCGCAATAATTCGAGACCCTGAGAGATGGAGTGAAGTTGTGGAAGTCAGCGTCGCTCGTAACTATTTGAAGGAGCTTCCTAGGAGGAGATCCTACGTGCGTTCGGTACGCACAGGGTCGGGAGGATGTCATGCAGCAGCATTCGTGGTGATACGTCGGCCGCTCAACCGTGACCCTCATTGCTTCGCCGCAGTCGGTAGACTGTAGCCACGACTCATGAAGTCGGAGCTTTTGCCCATTGGCTTGCTCTGATCGCGAGAGGAGAACAGACTCTGCACGTTCTCGCTCTCCGTCTTCCGCTTCTTGCTCTTCTCCTGCTCCTCCCGAACCTTGGCGGCGATACTCGCAGTGGAAGCGTTATTGATGGTACTACTGATGTCCGTACCGGCCTCTGATTTGTTCTTCTCCGTGTCTTCAGCGCCCTTCTTCCTCTTCTTCCCGCCGGCGATCTTCTTTAGCGAATGACTCAGCCCCTTCTCAGCCAGCGTTTTGGCCCTCAGTTGCAGCCGTGCGATATCCGTTTCCGTGACAGAAACGATGGGGATCACATCGTTGCTCGCGTACTCAGTCTCGCACGTGAGGCACTTCTCGCCAGAAACCTCCTTGATGGCAGCACCAGAGAAGGCGTGCCCACATGGCACAATGTACGCCGCCTTGCTCGCCGGTCCAAGGGTTTCGCCGGTGATGGGACACTTCCACTTGCCGGGATTTTCGCTGTCCGTCTCGAACTTGACCTCGACGACGTCCTTGAGACTCTTGACTGCGCCGTGTAGTTGAGCTTCGGCGTCGTCCTTGCGCGCACCCTCGACCAGGAATTCAATGATGGTTGCCTTGTTGTACAGCTTGCCTGCGCTGTCCGATACTACTGGCGCGACAAGTGGCTCGCGCGAGATGGGATCGGTGGACCATCCATACCCGGCCTGCTCCGCCCGCGCCTCCTTCACCTGCGCTGTAGTCGGATTGCGCGCCGCCTCCTTGACTAGTTCGCGGCGTGTTGGGATGCTGCCGCCGTCGTTGCCCATCGTTGCGATGTGGCGGAAGTGGATGTTAGAGGCTGTCGCTGGATGCAATTCTTCAGCTCCGCGGCGGCGCGGTCAAACTTCCAGGTTCTGTCGGCAAGGGTCCACGCCCCACGGCAATTTGCCGAATGCCGCACCTCGGACGGACTATGGGCAGGGGACTGCTAGCATTACATATCACCTCATTCGTACGTTCTTTGTTATCTGGACCAACTGAGGGAAGTCGTATGATGTTGTCCCTGATACCATTCACCTTTCACTGCAGATCTGCCAGCTGAGATGCTGCTCAACCTCACTTCAGTCAACCGGCCATTACTCACACGCGGATAACCAAGCCCCGGCAAGCTTTCTGCCTCATCTGGACGTGAGCACGTGCCTGTCACCAAACAAAATCAACAGCCTCACTGCAAACCTCCAAGTCATGGCTGCCGATCCTCAGCGCCCGACGCTGAAGAAGCGTCGTCTGTCTACATCCACGGACATGCAAGCGGCCATCGCCCAGCCCGGATCCATCAAAATCAACGTTACAGGAGCTTACATTATCGATCACGAAGATGACGACCAATCTCCCGAAAGATCTCCCACAGGGAGTAGCACCTCCGAAGGCGGCGAGGAGCAATCATTCCAACATCACAAACGTGACATACGCTTACCAAACCACACATCTGTCGTCTCACACGTTRCCGCAGACATCGGTGGCTCTCTTGCGAAAGTCGTTTACTTCACAAGGGAAAATGGAGCCGAGAGCGGCGGCCGTCTATCGTTTCTGTCGTTTGAGACAGAGAAAATCGATGACTGTATCGAATACCTTCGCACTCTGCAGATCAAGCATCAGGCCAATGAACGCATATCCGGAGGTCCAGCGACCAAACTGAGCATCATGGCTACCGGTGGCGGCGCCTTCAAATTCTACGACCGAATCCGCGAACGACTGGGTGTAGAAGTGGAACGGGAAGACGAAATGGAATGTCTGATCAAAGGGTTGGATTTCTTCATCACGACCATTCCAAACGAAGTGTTCGTCTTCAATCCTACTCCAGAATCCGACGGTGATGAGGAGGCGGAAGTCGTCTCATTTCAAGATCCTCGGAGCGATGTTTATCCTTACCTTCTGGTTAACATTGGGTCTGGAGTCAGCATGATCAAGGTATCTGGCCCTGCGCAATATCAACGCATTGGAGGTACTTCGCTCGGGGGTGGAACGCTCTGGGGTCTACTATCCCTCCTCACAGGCGCAAGAAACTTCGACGACATGCTCGCCATGGCGGACAAGGGCGACAATTCTGCGGTGGACTTGCTCGTCGGAGACATCTATGGTGAGGGAATGGGATATGAGAAGATTGGGCTCTCGGAAAGGACCATCGCAAGTTCTTTCGGTAAAGTCCTAAAGAGGAAACGTGAAGCCGAGCGAAGAGCAGARGATGGAAGTGGGTGTAGCAATGGCGATGCGAGTGAGAAAGCTGCACGAAAATCAGAATTCACGAATCTGACTACGGATATGGATGTTGACGCCGGAAGCGGACTTGTGGGCGATGGGAGGATGTTCAAGCCAGAGGACATCAGCCGAAGTCTGCTCTACGCGATATCGTAAGTTGCGCGGGCGAGAAACAAAAAGAATGAGCTAACGAATGGCATAGCAACAACATTGGGCAGATCGCATATCTGCAGTCAGAGAAACATGATCTGAAGAGGATTTATTTCGGCGGCTCGTTCATTCGAGGACATCAACAGACAATCCATACCCTGTCTTTCGCCATCAAATTCTGGAGTAAAGGCGGAARGCAAGCGTTCTTTCTGAGACACGAAGGGTATCTGGGAGCTGTTGGTGCGTTCGTGAAGCGTAATCCTCCGAGCTGGGGGAGAGGTAACGGGGGCACAGATGAGGAAGGTGGTGTGGATGGTACAGAGAAGACGAAGGAGAATGCGTGACACTGCACGGAAGCTTTGCCCGTCTCCGACCCCACTCTTGGTCTCGTCACAGGACCAAGGCCCTACAATGGAGGAGGGAAGCCTTTCAAAGATCGCGGTTCGGAGCTGAAGGTCAAGTGGAGCGCGTATGTCGGCGAGCCTCGCGCAAAGCTTTGGATATCCCATCATGGGAAGGCGCCCGTCCACCAAAATCAGCAACCGCTATTGCAGAGGTAATTTGTTTGCAGGAGCCGGCTTTGGACAGCCAATTTGAGTGGGGAGCAATTGGAGAAGGCCATGAGCGCAAGGAAGGCAAATGACTCGCGACCCATGCGAGCATGTTCGCTCAGATAGAGGCCTATGCAGCTACACCATGGAAAGCTGCTTTTGCAATACAACAGCCGTCGTACTCTCAGAGAGTATCTATACTGCTCTGAACCCGAAACTGGGAGGAAGCGACACAGTAGGAGAAAAAGGGACATGATGAGAGGATAGTGCCACATACATTCCTCCTCGACAGGGGATCTGGAAAGCCCGCTGTTTTGGCGGCCTATCGGCCTCGCCCTAGACAAAGAGCACACCTGTTGGTGTCATGCTCCTCTGGTCCACTGCATTATCATGCATATCTGGACAAAGATCGGAATAGCAGCAGTGTCGGTCTTCAGAAGACGTTTCATCCGCACGCACAGTTTGCCTGTACATTATGCACATGCATGCATTGATCCTGTATGTTCCATGCATCCAGTTTATGCTCTTCCAACTCGCATATTTCAGCATCATCAAGTCCTTCGTAATTCATGAGTTCTCGCCCACCGTGTTCTAAGTCAAGTCAGCGAAGATCGGTCCACTGTCAGAAGCTATACTCACAACAAGCCAGTCCATGCCTTCTGTGACGCCCTTGCCTGTTACTGCCGAACAGCCCACTATACTCCAGTTCCGATCCTTCAGCTCGCCCAACCTAAGTACTTCACTGATCTCACCCGCGCCCTTTGCGCCAGGACTGTCCTGCTTATTCGCAAACACCAGCAACGCACTATCCCTCAACTCCTCCTCATCCAGCATCGCCCGTAGTTCATCTGCAGCACTTCCTAGCCGTTCCGTATCGGTCGAGTCCACCACAAACACAACAGCCGCAGTATTCGCATAGTAGCACCTCCAATACGGTCGAATGGATGTCTGACCGCCTAGATCCCATACGTTGAATGCTAGGTTTTTGTATATGACGGATTCGACATTGAAGCCGATTGTAGGGATTGTGGTAACGACCTMGCCGATTTTGAGTCGGTATAGAAGCGTGGTTTTTCCGGCGTTGTCAAGGCCGAGAATCAAAATGCGAATCTCCTTCTTCGTCCAGAGGAGCTTGGTGAAGAGGGACAGGGCGCCGCCCATCTTGAAGAATCGTTTTGTGTGGCGGATGTGTTATACGAGATGGTTTTGATAGGCGGATTTGAGGGGTTCGTAGTCGTCGTTCAGTTCTGGAAGCGTAAAGACGCTTTGTTGATTTAATAGAAAAGATGTACGGTACATACCACCGTGTGTCGTGTGATGCAATGTGTACCCTCACTTTCTCGCGTGGATTACGAGAGCGGTCACCGGCCACGTTTAATGTCATTCAAGCTTTGATGCGTCCCGGTGCTAAAAAAAGATTGAGTCTGCGCTCGAAATTTTGTCAGTCGCGCATTTCTTCACCTCCTTCCTTTCCACAACTACTGCACACCACCTCACCACGGGCTCTCACTTTGTGAGCTGAGCCTCGTCTGGCGCCAGCGTGCTTCACGTGAGAAGACGGCGCCAGACATAAGCATCAAAGGTACGCGTTACCCCCAAACTCCATCCCATTCATCCCATTCGAATGATTATAACCCTTCAATCATGATCACCCTGATTATTAAAAGAAGCCGTCAAGCTCAACAATATGACTCGCATCGTCCCTCACACCCTTAGCCATCACGCCCTCTGTTCTTGAACATCGCTGATTGGGATATTAGTGAAATGGCATCGCCAAGCGCAACTTTGCCTCCGCTCCGCTCGAGACCAATGCGAACGACGACTCGGAGTTCCCTCAAATAGCGCTGCGACAGACTCCTTCCACTGCAATCTCAGGTATCTGGAGTCTTAAAGCCACAGCATGCAATGGGATGGAATTGACTAAGAGCGGTTCAATGCCCATCTCACGCTGCCCTAGGCTGGATTCTCTGGGAACATGCCAAGCTATACTACCCGCAGCCGCGCATCCGATGGTGATAATAGGTATATACGGACGTTGTACAAGCGGTGCAAGCTGGAGTAGTGGTCTGAACTCCAAACAAGGTTGGTCTGATGCAAGATAATTTCAATTCAGTAATCTAAAAAGCAAATATTACGATCATATCAAATGCTCCTTTACATGTTACTCGCTTTCGGCTATGCCATCTCGTCCTCTTCTCCGCTCTGCTGTCGGCCATTAAAGGGAGCCGTTGGACGTAACTGCGTTGACGAAACAGCTGCCCGCCTGGCTAGAGCAGTAGCTCTGGTTCGCATGAGGCGCACTTCTGCACTCATTCTCCTTCTTCTGGCAGCTCTTGCCTGGAAAAGTGAAAACGTCAGTCATTGGATCTTCAGAAGTATTCGGGTCCCATGCTTCAATGAACTTACAAGCTCCATCCTGGCTCGCACACAAGCTCCTGTTCGCCAARGGCCCAGCGTTGCAGCTTGCGAACGCCTCCTTGCAGCCATAGTAGCCCTGCGTCTGCCCAGGGCTGACTGCCATCTCGTAGCAAGCCTCGGCGCTGGAGGTGCAGCGCAGCTGGGAAGGGTACGAGTCCGCAGCTCCAACGCGGCACGAGTGCTCCAGGGTGATGCATGCAAGGCAGGCATCGTAGCCTTTGTCGCAGACGACCTGAGCGGTCTTGCCGGCGGCGACGTCGGCGGCACATGCATTCTTGTAGGTATCGCAGTTGTAAGTCGTGACGATGTTCGACTGGGCGGCCGTCAGTCCCAGGAATGCGGCGGTGGCCATGAGAATGGTGTTGGAGAGCATTGTGGCGGTAGATCGTTGGTTTTGTTGGTGATTTGGTAACGTTGTTGGTAAGTCTCGTGCTGAGGGAAGTGTTGCTTGCTTGTGAATTGCTGTGGCTGATGGTCTTGAAAGCGGTTGGAGAGCACTTGTTATATATCTTTTCCTTCTCACATATTTTTCATCTACTACCTAAGGAAGCTTCTATTTCTTCCAACACGACGTCACATTGCTTCCCCGTACGCACGTGTATAGCTAGCATGCTAAGTTACATGCTAAACGTCGTGTGGTTCTGCATCATTGCCACGAAAATAGAATATGCGTGCATAGCTGTGTMGATCTSGKKGGWCGCCGYAT